TCAGATGTGGCCATACCAGGGCTGACGAGAAAGGAAGGATCACCTCTCCTGACCTCCTTTTCCAAATGCAGCCCAGGATGCTGTAGACCTGCTTGGCCACACAGACGCACTGTTGGCTCATGGTCAGCTTGTTGTCCACAAGGACCCCCACTCCTCTTCTCCAAAGCTGATTTGCAGCCAGTTGCTCCCCAGACTGAGTGGGTCCATGGGGTTATTCTTGCTTATGATAAAAAACTTTGTGTTTTTCTTTGTTGAACTTCATGAAGTTCCTCTTTGTCCAGTTCTCCAGACTGCCCAGGTCTCCCTGAGTGGCAGTGTGACCATCTGGTGTATCAGCCACTCATCTCAGCTTTCTATCAGCAACAAACTAGCTCAGGATGCCCTTGGTCCCCTTCTCTGGGACATCAATGAAAGGTTGACTAGAATGGGATGAAATATCAACCTCTCCCAATCACCAGGAACTTTCAAATATGTCCTGGTTCAGGCTGGAATAGAGTTCATGTTCACTTGGTAGCTGGAGGAGTGCTGCAGCACACTGAGACCCCAGAGGCTCCCCAGGCCCGAGAGCCCTTGCCTGTGTGTGGGGGCAGGGGGAGCACAGCTGAAGTTCTGGGCCCAGATTGGCCAATTTTCCATGTCATGTGACATTGTGCTCACCATATAAAGGAAGGAGTGGGCGGGAAGGCGCGGGCTCTCACTTCCGGGAGTGTTGCCACGGCACCTTCGTGTTCGGGATCGCTGGCTGGGAGCAGGACGGGTGTCGGTCGGCGGGTGGTGAGCAGCTGTATTGTACATTACCCGTGTATACTGTCACCGTATTATTTTATTACTCTCATTAAACTGTTTTTATCTCAGCCCGCGAGTCTCCCTTTGCCCCTCCGATTCCCTCCCTGGTCCCAGGTGGGGAGGGTGGGGGAGCAGCTGCGTGGCATTTAGCTGCTGATTAGGCTCAAATGATGACAAAATATTATTTCAAGTGGCCTTACAATGACATCAGCCAGCTCCCTCAATGCTCATGAGCACATCCCCTCATGTCCCATGGACATATGTATGTCCATTTCTTTTTAACATGTTCCCTAACCTGTGATTCCTGCACCAAGGGTAAGTCTTCCTTGCTCTAGGCTTTCCCTCTATTCTCGGCGGCAGGGGATTCCTGAAGGCTGGTCTCACCAGTAAAGACAGAGATGAAGAAGGCATTGAGTATCTTGGCTCTTCTTGTGTCCTCTGTCACCAGGGTCCCTGCCCCATCTAACAGCAGTCACATTTTCCCTAGTCTTTCTCTTGCTGCTAGCATCATTGTTGAACATTTTCTTGATGCCTTCCACATTCAGATTAAATTTTCAGACTGAAATTAAGGTGGACCTTGGCATCCCTAAAACCTTCTCTAAAAAATCAGGAGGTTATTGATGATTTCCCTCCTCAGATTCAGGTGCTCCCCAAACACTCCTTCATCCCAACCTTTGCTTTACCTCCTCTTTTTCCTTTCCCTCTTTTCTCCCTTCCAGGTTCTTCCCTTTGGTCTTCCTCAAATCCTCCCACACAAGCAGCCCACCTATTTCCCCTCTACCCACCAGCCCTGGCAATTTCTTGCCTAGTGCCTTTGCTGGGTGTTTCTGGGATGGTGGCCATGGGAACACCTGCCTTGGTCAGCAAGTCCATTAAACTAGTACCTCCTTCTATCATCTGACATGTCCTGCAATTCCCTGCACTGTCATCTTGTTAGAGACATCGCTGGGCAGCATGAGCCACCTACACACACATCTTACCAGTTGACGCCACAAAGTTTCAGTCCATGAGGACCTTGAGAAACTCTGAGATTTGGCCAACAGAAAAACCTCATTACGTTTTTCAAGAAGTGCCCAGTCCTGTGTGAGGGGCACAATAACCCCAGGCACCAGGGCAAGGTGGGACCTGACTGCCTGAGGAGTGACCCTGAGGAGAAGGCCATGGACACTACTGGGGATGCCACGGGAGCCAGTGGAGCATGCTCACCATGAATAAGACCAACTACGTACAAGGCCAGGGGAGTTACCTCCTTCCCTTGATTCAGCATGGTTGTGATCAAATCTGGTGTAGTATGTTCTGGTGTGGGGCTCCTGTCACAACCCGCTCAGACAAGGGAGACAAGTGACTTAGATTCATAAATCCCCAACGGATTGGACAACGGTGAGACAGGTCTCAAAGCTCATACATAGACATTTATTAATTTCTGTCGTGGTTTGTGCTCGGAGGGCAACTGGGCACCACACAGCTGCTCACTCTTCCTCCCTTCCCCCACAGTGATGAGAAGGGAAAAATAAGCCAGGCTTGGGATTCAAGATAGGGACAGGAGGGGCAAATCACCCATTATGGTCATAGGCAAAAGGCATACTCGTTAGGGGAAGGAAAAAAGGCCATAGATTTATTACAGACACTAATAACACTTAACAGAGTAGGACAGTGAGAAGCATTGCCACATCTTGAGAACACCTTCCCCCCACCCCTCCCTTCTTCCCAGGCTCAGCTCTGCTCCTGATATCTCTACCTCCTCCCCGCAGCGGCGCAGGGGCAGGCAATGGGGTTCTTCAGTGAGGGGAACCCAAACATCCCACCACTCACTCAAACCCAGGACAATTTCCCACAGTGTATTAATGAGATACACAATAATTGGCTAAGTATATAACAAATTATAGCAAGTGATATGGTATGCTTTGTGTTACATAATGATAATAAGGAAAAAAGGGGAAAAAAAAAAAAAAAAGAAGAGAAATAAAGAGGTAGAAATAGAGATCACTGGTCCCAGCTCCTGTGTTGGTCCCTTCGACAAGGGTTCAAGGATGCATCTGTCTTCTTCACCTCTTTTCTCCTCGCCCCCCGTCAATTTATACACACTTTCTGTGGGTCCCTCCTCCTGGGTGACCCACATACCGACATAACACATGTATGGGGAGGGGTAAGGTGCTTTATGGGATGATGTAATTATCATGATCTTGTGAATCTTCATTAGCGTATGCAATGGGGTCAACTTTAACATGCATTTTGCGGATCATGAGGCAAAGGTCACTCACCAGACAGATGGCCCTTGAAACTTTACAAGCTGCACCAGAGCAGGGCCTTCCTGCCTTCACAAGACTCCCTCTTCCAGCTCCACACTGTGCTAATCAGGCCGCCTAATCAGCTCTAGAATCCACATTATTCACCCGGTGACTAGAGTTCTATCACTTGCAAGTGTTTGAGACATTTCTCGGCTCAGAGGGCCTCCACTTCCTCCCCAACCCTTATCTTTACCAAGTCTCATCTCTCACCCTTGTTGATGCTTCCCTCAAGGTTGCTTCTCTCAGTCCTTGTTTTCGGGGAGTTACAAGGCATCTCTTACAGCTCCTTTTGCTGGAAGAATGGAGAAGAACTGGAGAGGATCCAGAGGAGATATGACAAGACGGGGTTCAGGGCCTGAAGCACATGACCTGTGTGCAGATCCTGCAAGACCTTGGCTCCTTCATGACGTGGGGGCTTGGGGCAGCCTGTGACTTCTTGAAGAGTGGTTTTAGAGATGACAGAGAATCTCCCTGTAGTGGAATGAAGCTGGACAAAGCGACAAAGTGCATCTTGGGATGTCTGTACCAGACACGAGGAGAAGAAAATGTCACTCAAAGGATAGTGCTGTGGTGCAACCAGTCGCCCAGAGGGAGCCTCATGGCTTTGTCTTTCAAGGAGAGACATCTGTACAGAAGGGACATGACAGGGTGAGGGCAAGGTGGGAAAGAGATGGGTGTCTTCAGCCTGCATGGAACAGATGAGGCATGGGACAGCATAGGACAGCCCAAGGTGGAGGTGGCTGAGGGCACTGGCAAGGCAAAAGGGCCCAGCAGGACACAGAGACCTTCACCTCCTTGCCTATGGCACTTGTCTCCTTCACCTATGAGGACACAATTGTCCTCATGACACTGGAGCCTTGTTACCTCTTTGTAAACCCTAGAGATGCCAGGAGGTGTCGTCTCATTGTCCCTCCATTGACGTTGCACACCCCACAGCCCCCCACGCTAGGAAGAGCCCTGAGCCACACTTGAGGGACAGGATCTCCCTTCTGAGGGGCTGGGGGTCAGGGATCGGTGTTTGGCTTGATGGAACACATCAAGGCCCTTTTCTCAGCATCAGTCAACACTTTTCCTTCACCTGCCTGTCATCACTGCCTCCAATTTTCTGTTTCAATGAGTCCACAGGGAAGCTGTGTTGGTAATGTCCCTCAGTGGGACCCATTAATACTTCAAGAAACTTCAGCGTTTGCTTCTGACTTTACCTTCTGGAGCAATTTGCACAGATTTGATCCTCTCAGGATCGAAGGTTCATGCACTCAGCATCAAATACACCATGGGACTCATTACAGTGTAAATACTGCTCACTTGCTTTGTCTCTTCCTGTAATTTTCTTAAAGGCTCCAAGACTTGTTAAGCTAATTGGTTGTTACAGGGAGAGATTACAATGGAAAAGGAGTTTTTCTATTTAAAGATATTTTTTATTCATTTTTGGTTTTCAGACAAGAGGTGACAGCAACATTCTCCAGTTCATGTTGACCTAGACAGTCACCTAAAGAGCTCCGGGCAGGTAGGAAAAGCAATCTTCTTGAGGTCCAACACTCTATGGACAACTTTTCTCCTCACCTCCCCAATCCCACCAGTTCTACCATCAGCCACCTGGGACTCACATCACTTTTCCTGGCATCAGATTTCTCCATGACATTGTGCAGCTGGATATTACTGCTCCTTTGCACCAACACCCACCTGCTTTCCTCAGAGAACTGGCTGATCACAGACATGGAAGGGTTTCCCTTCATTGCCAACAAACAAAAGCAAAACGTGATTCAGAAAACCATAAACCACACACCCCAAGTGAATGCAAAGTGCAAGCTACAGAGCTCTGCCCTCCACAAGGACCACCCACACAAGAACTCTTTGAGGCAGAGAGAAAGGAAAGAATAGATATAAATACAATGAAGGAGTTGGCTGAAGAGACATTGAGACAGGCTACTGGAAGACGGGAGAATTTTTAACTCTCTGAAGTTCAAAGCGGCAGCTCCGTAGTTTCTTCAGCTTCTTCAGTGCATCTTTGAGCTCCTGGTTCCTCATGCTGTAAATGAGGGGGTTCACTGCTGGAGGCACCACCGAGTACAGGACAGCCATCACCAGGTCCTGGGGTGGGGATGAGATGGAGGAGGGCTTCAGGTAGGCAAACATGGCAGTGCTGAGAAACAGGGAGACCACGGCCAGGTGAGGGAGACACGTGGAAAAGGCTTTGTGCCGTCCCTGCTCAGAGGGGATCCTCAGCACAGCCCTGAAGATCTGCACATAAGACAGCACAATGAAAACAAAACACAGAAAGAATAAACAGGCACTAACAACAATAAGCCCAACATCCCTGAGGCTGGCGTGTGAGCAGGAGAGCTTGAGGATCTGGGGCATTTCACAGAAGAACTGGTCCAGGGCATTGCCCTTGCAGAAAGGTATTGAAAATGTGTTGGCAGTGTGCAGGAGAGCGTTGAGGAACCCACTGCCCCAGGCAGCTGCTGCCATGTGGACACAAGCTCTGCTGCCCAGGAGGGTCCCGTAGTGCAGGGGTTGGCAGATGGCAACATAGCGGTCATAGGCCATGACAGTGAGAAGAGAAAACTCTGCTGACATCAGAACAAAAAAGAAAAAGACCTGAGAAGCACAGCCTTGGTAGGAGATGGCCCTGGTGTCCCACAGGGCATTGACCATGGCTTTAGGGACAGTGGTGGAGACGGAGCCCAGGTCAAGGAGGGAGAGGTTGAGAAGGAAGAAGTACATGGGGGTGTGGAGGTGGTGGTCGCAGGCGATGGCTGTGATGATGAGGCCGTTGCCCAGGAGGGCAGCCAGGTAGATGCCCAGGAAGAGCCAGAAGTGCAAGAGCTGCAGCTCCCGTCTGTCTGCAAATGCCAGGAGGAGGAACTGGGTGATGGAGCTGCTGTTGGACATTTCCTGCCTCAGGGCACGGGGCATTGTTGGAGGAGGAAAGCACAATCAAGTTAGGGAATACTTCTCAGAGCAAATTCAAAAACATTTCCCATAAATACTCCCCTTGCTACACACTCTGCCTTTTCTTTTTCCAGGAGACTTTCTTCAGATCTCTGCCTGGAGCTCTCGGTGGTGCTCTCTGAGTATCCTGTGAGGAGCAGGGCCTCCTCTGAGTTGTTGAGGAGTCAGCCCTGCTCTGCAGCGATGCGTTCATGGGAACAGTGTCAGAGGCCAGTCCTGGTGTTTGACTTTGTCAGATGAAAATGGTCCTTACGCAGACGGTGTTGTCAGCATCTGACCTCCCCATTCCAAGGAACTGCAATGGCAAAGGCAGTTTGGGGTCAGGGGAGCTGGTCTGTCCCTCCACCTTGTTCCCAGCTACCCTGTGTGGTGGTACAATTCTCATCCCCTGGGCTGCTTGGTGCTAAGTGTGATTCCACCCACCTCCCCCAGGCTATTTACTTCGAGCTAGCTTCTCTTACTCTTTCTCTGCTTATTGATGTATGTGGGTACATATTTCATTCTACTGGATCCAAATACTTTTGTCCTACGTGTGTGTTTGCATGTTTTGTGTTTGTGTATGCACATATATATATGTATTGATTTAAGACACCTTATAGTAAGTTAGAGTGAATCTTGTCACCTTAGAATCTGTAGATAAGTCACTATTTTAACTATCACATTTTTCTGAATTATTTTGTACATATTTAAACCATTTAATGCTCAAGGACTCAGTTTTTAATAAATTTTGATTTGCTGTCAAATCATTACCATGTTAATACTTTCATCCACAACACCATGGGCTTGCACCTTTCTGAGGTGGAGGGGGAGTGGACTCCCAAGTTACCCTGAAACACCACCAGACACTGCTGAGAGCAGAGGGACCCATGGCAGACCACTAAATGTCTCACCTTTTCTCGAGGTCTCAGCACCCCACTTCTACCCAAGGACACATATTGCTCGTGTCACCAACCCAACGCTTTGTCTCTGTCTCTACACTTCTACTTGGAGGATTTCAGATAACACAAAGTTGCTACAGGAAAGATTTGCATGGTTGAGGGCAGCTCACCGCTTGGAAGGCCACCCCAAGCAGACAGCCAGTGCCCTAATGATTATATTTAATTACAGGAAAAATCAGCTAATTCCTCAGCCCCATAGACTGCATTGCCCATAGACAATGAAAGCTGGGAGGCCTCATTTCTGTGGACACACCAGCATGGAAGGACCCACAGGATCAGTCTGGGGCTCTGCAGCTGAAGGTCCCGTCCCCAGGGAGCCTGACAGCAAGAATAAAAGAACAATAACCCAGGGAAGTGGAGAAACATGGGGAAATACAGCGAGGGTCTGGAGAGCTGCCCCACAGCTCTGCTGGAAGGCTGCAGGGGAGGTGGTTCACACCTTGAACCCCCCGGCTCTGAGGGCAGAGGCTTTTCTGGGTGGGAGAGGAAGCAAGGGGGCTAGCTCAGAAGAAGACATCTCCCTTGGAGGGGCTCATAAAGAGTTTTCTAAATTCTCCCTCCCACAACACTCCTGGTTTTAGTTTCCTCACATTCCCAGATCATGTTCATGCTGCCTGGAGATTTTCCTCTCAGGAGGGGTTTCCCTGTCCCATCTCTTTCCCTTCTCAGCACTCACAGACCTCATCTCAATCTCTGCACGTTCATCCCTACAGAAACCTGTCTGCTTGCAGGGCGCAGGTGGACGCATGTTCCCGTTTGCTGGTGAAGAGGGGCAGGTCAGAACAACCCTGGTGGGTCCAGAAAAAGGGGGGGAAGAGCAGTGATCAAAGACACTTCAACAGGCTCCTAGCAGACCGACTGATCACTGTGTCCTGGCACACAGCCCCTAGGGTGCAGGGCCCTGCCCAGGGCACCCCGGGGTGCACACCCCGCTTCACCCCCCTGCAGCCATCCCCGGGAGAAGGCAGCCCTCATGCCCTGTCCTTCTGACGGTGCAGCAGGGAAAGCCCTGCCCTGGAGCACCTCCTTCTCATCTACAGTAGAGAAACTGTGAGAGTTGTGCTTACAGATCTCATAAGCTGTGGATTGTACCAGTTTTTGGAGATACCTCCAGGATACTTTTGTGTGTTGCCCCACAGATAGACACTTACCCTGTGAAGAGTCTGAAGGTTTTTCCTCTGTCCTCCCACCCAAGACTGCTTTTAACTTCTCCCTGCCTCGCTGCTCTGCCCTGGGTGCCTGCAGGCAGTGCCCCCAGCCCTGCTGAGCTTTGCAGAGGAGCTGCTCCAGGTGTCTCTCTGCCCGTTTACCACGATCTCCCTCCATCCCAGGAGCCCATCCCAGCTCCGGAGCAGAGGAACAGCCCAAGGCATCACCCTTGAGATGCAGAGTCACCCATGGGGGGACCGTGCTGCAACGTCACCTGAAGTAATTGCCAACAGTGGAGAGGGAGACTGATTCCAGCAGCATGTTTTGCCCTACCAGAGCGTGGATGCCAGTGACAGGTGACAGTGTTCCCCTCTGGACATTGATATTCTTGACCCATAACAAAAAGGACACACAGACAGGGACAGGGAAGAGGTTGGCTCCCCCTTGGGCAGGGCAGGGATTCAGCTGAGGCAACGCAGGCGTCTCATCCTGACCAGGAAGCCCTTGGCTTGATGCGAGATTCAGCTCTCCTCTTTCACCCCACAGACCCAAAGGAGCTGGGAATCCTCCTGGTTTAGCTCAGACGTGCCCAAACGAGTTGCCAGCGTGTGACCCACTGCTCTGAGCCCCTTGCCTTCAGTCAGCGAGGCCTCAGGTGCTCACACACAGATACTTTGTGATGACCGAGGTGCTCCAAGACACATGCAAGTGCTTGCAAGCTCTGATGGAGAAACTCTTGAGAATATCCACATCTTTCTTGAGCATCAGTTGAGGGCCACAGGAGGAATAGGGATATCCTTGGCCACCCAAAACGACACCAGGGCACCTGAATGTGCCTTGTGAATTATCTCTCTGAGCTAATCAAACTGAGGAGTGCCCCAGAAGGAGATATAGGTCCCTATCCAGTCTACTCCTTAAAGCTCCAGTCATTATAAAGCCAAGACACATCCACATCCCTGCACTGAAGACCTTTATTTCAGGGTTCTCATTGGAATGCCATTAAAAGAAAAAAATAAAAAGCCTCTAGTGCCATGCCTGGGTGCCAAACACAACTCCTCTCAGCAGGCAAATGCAGAACCAACCTTCCAGGAAAGTGGAGCCCTGTTAGAGCTGCTGGGGGGCAGACACCCCAGGGATTCCCAAAGGGGTCCAGTGACGATGTGATGCTGCCTGAACCACGGCACAGAGGCAAGGACCACACCAGGCTGCCCTGCCCTGTCCCTCTGTTCTCAGCCCTTGGCTATTCTCCTCTCTCTGGGCCTCTATGCACCTGCCCCATACGAAGAAAAGGGAAGTTGATAAAAGTAGAATCATAGACTCATAGAATCACAGAATCATTGAATGGCTTTGGTTGGGAAGGAAACTTTAAAGATCATCTAGTCCAACCCCTGTGCCGTAGGCAGGGACATCTGTCACTAGACCAGAGTGCTCCAAGCCCTGTCCATCCTGACCTTGAACTCTTCCAGGGAGGGCACAGTCACAGCTTCTCTGGGAAGCCTGTTCCAGTGCCTCATCACCCTCACCATAAAAAATTTCTTCTTATGTCCAATATAAATCTACTCTCATTTATTTTAAAACCATTCCCCCTTGTCCTATCATTTCAGGCCCTGGTAAAAGTCTCTCTTCATCGTCTCATAAGCCTCCTACATATTTTGCATGGCTGCAATAAGGTCTCCTGTCATGGATCCCAATTTAGAATCCTGCCGGTTACACCAATTTGTTGTAGATTGGTGATTTAGAACGCTTAAAGAACCACCACCAGTGGTATCTGCAAAAGTGGTTTTCCTGAACCTTAAATTCTGATGGCAAGATTCAATCTATTCCTTACTGCACAAAGGATGCAACAACGAGTCCAACATGCCAATACAAAATCTTAGTGTGCTATAACACAAGATTAAGTGCAGTATTGGTCACTTAACAAAGATCTGCCGTTCTCAGCCTCAAGGAGCAACCTTGAGAGACATCCCAGCTCAAGGGGATGTCACCGCTGTGCAGCCACACATAGTCACATTTCATGCGATGGAAAAGGTAAGCATGAAGCTCCTTATACCCACAAGATTCTTTGTTCCTTGATAAATGAGTCTTGGAAGAACCACCTGCTATTTCTGTGTTGATTGCATGATTGATGTTCCAGTTTCCAAGCCCCATAGGCAACAGTTGTCACCAGGTCACTCTGTTCCTTTGTGGGTTTCCAGAGAACAGATTGGAACCAGAGAAGTTCTTGGCCTGGTTACACCTAGGGCTTTGTCTCCTTTGGAACCTGAACCAAACGACCACTAGTTTGGTCAAGGAGTTGAGTGGCTCCATCACAGGAACTCAGCTCCCTCCCATGCCTGCCACAAACCCAGAGGTGGTGGGAGTCCTCTTGCCTCGGTTCAGGTGTGCGCACAATACAGTCCTCTGAAGACTGGAAGAAATCACATGTCCCTCCTAGCTTCAAGAAGGGCAAGAAGGAAAATCCGGGGAACTATAGACTCACCTCTCTCCCTGGGAAGGTGATATAGCACTGAATCCTGGAAACTATTTCCAAGCACATTGTACCAGTTTGGGCTGGGATGGGGTTAATTTTCTTCATAGCAGCCTGTACGGTGCTACAGCTTGGGATTTGTAACCAAAACAGTGCTGACAACACACCAGTGTTGTAGCTATTGCTGAACCGTGTTTGCACAGCATCAAGTCTTTCTCCATTCTCTGTTTTCCTCCCCAGCGAGTGAATTGTATTTCCCTCACACAGGGGGACCACCCAGCTGGAAATCAGCTTGGGAGAAGAGGCCCTGAGGGGGGGACCTGGTGGACACCAAGTTGACCATGAGCCAGAAATATGTCCTTCCTGTGAGAAAAAAAAAAAAAGTCAAATGGTATCCTGGGGTGCATTAGGCAGGAGGGCCAGCAGGTTGAGGGAGAACGATCCTTCTCCTCTACTCAGCGCTGGTGAGGCCACATCAGGAGTTCTGGGTCTGGTTCTGGACTCCTGTTGTGGTTTAGGCCTGGTTGGCAGCCAACCACCATGCAGCCACTCTCTCTCCCTTCCCCTCCGGCAATGAGAAGGGACAGAGAGCCAGGCTTGGGGTTCGAGATAGGACTGGGATGGGGAAAAATTCCCCTTTATGATCACGAGCAAAAGGCAGACTCGTTAGGGGAAGAAAAAAAGAACATACATTTATTACAGACACTAACAACACATAACAGAGTAGGACAGTGAGAAGCATTGCCACATCTTGAGAACACCTTCCCCCCACCCCTCCCTTCTTCCCGGGCTCAGCTCTGCTCCCGATATCTCTACCTCCTCCCCCAGCGGTCGCAGGGGCAGGGAATGGGGGGTGCAGTCAGTGCCGCCACTTCCCTTATCTTTGGTGGGGGGAGTGTCCGGAACTTGTTCCTCCTTCTCCATCGTGGTCCCCCTCTCACAGGAGACAGTCCTCCACAAACTTTCTCCAACATGAGTTCCTCCCATGGGCCGCAGTGTTCCCCACACTGCTCCATCATGGGTCACTAACTTCCTCTGACTGGATTCTCTCCCACGGCTGCAGCCCTTCCCGAGCTGCTTCGGCGTGGGACTCCCCCGCATGCTGCAATCCTCCCAGCGCTGAATTACAGCAGCAGGGCTGCCTTTTTCCACAAGACCCTAGCCTTCTTCGGGCACAGAACCTTGATCAGGCAAGCAGAAGCCACAGGCCGTAAATCAATGTCTGCTCCACTCTAGTTCTCCATGGGTGGCAGGGGGGGCCTCCCTGCCATCTCACCACAGGATACAGGGGGGTATCTGCTCCAGCACACCTCCCCCCTCCTTTCTTCCTCCGTTCCCCCACTGACCTTGGTGTTCATGCAGCTGCAGCAACTCCTCCTCACAAGTCCCACTGCCCGTCACCACATCCCTTCTTAAATACGTTATCGCAGAGGCGCAGCCGATTGGCTCAATATTCCAAACAGAAGTGGAGCTGACGTGGAGCTGGGGGAGCTTCGAGAAGCTTCTCACAGGGGGCCGCCCCGATAGCCCCCTCCCCTGCCACCAAAAATCTCCACCACTCACTGAACCCAGGACAGCTCCCCAGTAAAAGAGAGGCATGGACATACTTTGTCCAACAAAGGAACAGGAGGTGGAAGAACTATCAGAGGAAAGCAAAAAGGAGGATTATAAAAAACAGGAGGAAGTAGAGGACGAGAAAAAAGTAGTGGAGGAGGACAAGGAGAAGGATGAGTAAGAACATGATGAACAGGAGGAAGAGGAGGTTGAGAGGGAGAAAAAACAAGAGAAGCAGCAGGATGGGTAAAGAGAAACAGGAAGAGGAGAAGGAGGAAGAGGAACATCACAAATAAAACTAACAGGAGGGACAATATGAGGAACTGATAGAACTGGAGGACCAGGAAGAAGATGAAAAGGAGAAAGAAGAGGATTAGGAAGAAAATAAGGAGGAAAAATGGATGGTGAAAGGGGAGGAAGAGGAGAAGGAGCAGGAGAAAGAACAGAAGAAAGAGTAGGATTATGAAAAAGAAGAACATGAAGATGAGGAGAAGGAAAAGGACAAAGAAGATTGAGATGACAAGGTAAAGAAAGAGGAGGAGTAGTTGGAGGCACAAACAGAAGTATAAATGGGAGAAAGAGGAGGAAGGAGAAATAACAGGAACAGAAGGGTGACAAAGGAGGAGGGGGAGAAAAAGGATGATGAAGAGGAAGAGAAAATGGAAGAAAGATGAAGAACAGGAGGAGAAGGAAGAGGAGGACCATAAGCAGCACAAGGAGGAGGAGGATGTAAAGGAATAATGTCAGGAAGAGGAGGAGACAGAACATAAGGAACAGGAGGAGGCCACAGGAGGAGAAGGAGGCAACAGGAGGAAGATGAAACAGGAGGAGAAACATAAGAAACAAGAGGAGGAAGAAGAGGAACATGAGATATAGGAGGAGGAGGAAGAGGAGGAGAAGGAGGCAACAGGAGGACACAACAGGAGAAGGAGACAAGAAGGAAGCAACCAGAGGAGGAAACAACAGGAGGAGTAGGCAATAGACAACAGGAAGAGGAAGGAACAGGAGGAGGAGGCAACAGGATGATGGTGATGATGAGGAAATAGGAGGAGAAGTAGGAGGAAGAGGAGACAACAGGAGCATAAAGCAAGTGGAGGCAACAGGAGAACCAGGAGAAGAAGGAGGAGGCAACAGGAGGATACAGGAAAAGGAAGCAAGCAAGACAAGCAAGCAACAGGAGGAGGAGGAGGCAACAAGAAAAGGAGGAGGAGGAGGAGGAGGAAGAGACAAAAAGGGACAACTGGAGGCAACAGGAGGAGGAGTCAACAAGTATCAATGGGAAAAAGAGTCAACAGGAGGAGGGGGAAGGTGAAGAGTCAACAGGAGGAGGAGGAATGGCAGCTGCTCACGTAGTTGCCTTAGAAGAATCGGGGGCTGCTACGTGGGAAATATCCCATCTCCAGAAGAAACCAAAATGCTCCTGGAGATGCCTGGGAGAGGTTCTGGGGAGCTACCAGGCATGGACCTGCCTCCATCATGAACAAAAGTCACGCCCTGGAGAAGTCTGGGCCTGCTACCTGGGGACTTCAGCCATCTTCAGAGGAGGCCGAAAGATTCTTGGAGATGTCAGGGAGGAGTCCCCGGGAGATATGGGGCATGGACCTGCCACCACCATGGATAAAACACATCTGGTAACAACCTTGGAATCTAGGGCTGCTCCCAGGACTTCAGTTGTCTCCTGAGGAGGCCAACACACTCCTGGAGATGGTTGGGAGAGGTCCTGGGGAGCTGCTGGGCATGGACCTTCTCCAAAGCCACCTTAGAAGAGGTGGGAGCTGCTGCCTGGGAACCCTCCTGGCTCCAGAAGAAACCAGAATGGTCCTGGAGATGCCTGGGAAGAGTTCTGGGAGCACAGAAGGGCACTGGGAGCACTGGAGGGACACTGGGGGGGGGCAGAGGGGGAGGGGGTGGCACTGGGAGCACTTGGGGCACTGAGGGGCCCTGGGAGCACTGGGGGGCCCTGGGAGCACTGGGGGAGGGAGTGTCCTGGGAGCACTGGGAAGACTAAAGAACACTAACAGGTACTGGGAGCACTGGGGGGCACTGGGAGGCACTGGGAAGGCACTGGGGAGCACTGGGAAGGCACTGGGAAGGCACTGGGAGCACTGGGGAGACTGGGAAGCACTGAGGGGCACTGGGGACACTGATGAGCACTGAGGGGCACCAGGAGCACTGGGAAGACTAAAGAACACTAAGGGATGCTGGGAGCATGGCGGGGCACTGGGAAACACTGGGGAGCACTGGGAGGGCACTGAGAGACACCAGGAGCACTTGAAGTACTGCAGGGGCACTGGGAGCACTGGGGGGGGGGGGGGCACTGGGACGGCACTGGACAGGTACTGGGGACACTGGGGGCACCAGGAGCACTGGGGGAGGCACTGGGAGCATTGAGGGGCACTGGGAGGCAACTAGGGAGACTGGGGAGAACTGGGAGTACTTGGAGGGCACTGGGAGCACTGGGAAGACTGGAAAGCACTGAAGGGTGCTGGGAGCACTGGGAGGGACACTGGGCACCCCTTCATGTCTCCCAGTTGCCCCCCCCCCAGCTCCCTCTCTGAGTGGGGGGCTCTGGGTGCTGGGAAGTCCCCAGATGAGGGGGGAGGGGGGAAGGGGGCGTGTCCCAGCAAACAGTTTGATTGACAGCTGTCATTTATTGAGGGGTGGCGGTGAGAAGCGGGGGCTGGGGGAGGTGCTGGGTGCTCAGGAGATCGGTGCTGTGGGTGCCCTGGTGATGGGGGTGATGGGTGCTGGGTGTGTCCAGGCGTTGGGTCCTGGGGGCACTGGGTGCTGGGGCTGCTCAGTTGGGTACTGGGTGCCGGGTGTGACCATGTGCTGAGTCGGGTGCTGGGGGTGCTCAGTTGGTGGGTGCTGGGGGTGCTCAGTTGGGTGCTGGGGGTGTTCAGATGATGGGTGCTAGGGGTGCTCAGTTGGTGGGTGCTGGGGGTGCTGAGTTGGTGGGTGCTGGGGTGTTCAGATGGTGGGTTCTGGGGTGCTGAGTTGGTGGGTTCTGGGGGTTCTTAGTTGGGTGCTGGGGGTGTTCAGATGGTGGGTTCTGGGGGTTCCCTGGCATGGGGTGCTGGGGGTGCTGAGGGTGCCCACGCGCTGGGTGCTGAGGGTGCTGAGTTGGTGGGTGCTTGGTGCTGGTGGCGCTCAGGCATAGGGTTCCAGGGGCGATCAGTTGGTGGGTGCTGGGGGTGCTCAGTTGGGTGCTGGGAATGGCCAGGTTCTGAATGTTGGGGTGCTGGGGGTTCTTAGTGGGCGGCAGGTGCTGGGGGTGCTCAGTTGGGTGCTGGGGGTGCCCAGGTGGTGGGTGCTGGGTGTTGGGAGTGCCCAGGTGTGGGGTGTTGGGGGCACAGGGTGCTGGGGGTGCTCAGTTGGGTTCTGGGGATGCTAGGGTTGGTGGGTACTGGGGGTGCTCAGTTGGGTGTTGGGGTGCTCGGTGGGTGCTGGAGGTGTTCAGTTGGTGGGAGCTGGGGGCGCTCAGTTGGTGGGTGCTGGGGGTTCCCTGGCATGGGGTGCTGAGGGTGCTCAGCTGGGTGCTGGGTGCCGGGTGCCGGGGGTGCTCAGCTGGTGGGTACTAGGGGTGCTCAGCTGGGTGCTGCAGGTGCCCCAGCATAGTGTGCTGGGGGAGCTGGGCCACTCGGGTGCTCAGATGGAGATGCTGTTCTCCGTTTCCATCGGGTTCATGTAGTTGTATCTCAGCTTGGCCCGGTGGTTCCTCTCCTCAATGTGGTCCCGGATCTCCTCCAGCTGCGCTTGGAAGGACCTGATGAGTTGCCGGGGCTTTATCTCTGTGAACCGCTCCTCCGGGTACTGTCCCAGCAGCCTCTGGGGGATACAGAGGTGGGGACCCATCAGGTTCAACCACTTGGACGAGGTCTTTCAAGCCATCTGGGCATCCCTAGGCACCCTGGTAGCTGTAGAGCGATGGAGGCCACCACACTTGGGGACACCCAAGGTGGTGACAGGCACCCATGCCCTTGTGGGCATCTCTTGGGGTTCCTCAGCCCCACCGAGCTGCCATTTTGGGGAGGCCACAGTGGTGATGGTGGGGCCCAGACTCACCACGTCTTTGAGGCGGGAGCTGAGGAGGATGAGGGCCACCAGGATGTTGGCGGTGGTGTCCACCTCGGGCACGGTGTCAAGGAAGTGTTGGAGGGAGACCTTGCCCTTCTCTTCTGGCGGCGGGTGGCGCATGGAAGATGGAGCGTTGGGGACGAAGGCACCCAGGTCATACTGCAGGGTGAGGGGTCACTGTCAGCAGAGGACATCCCTCGGGCAGGGGGATGGGATGGATGGGGATTTTCTCCCGAGATGGGGTGAGGACATCCTTCCAACATGGAGAGGGGATGACTGGGGACAACCCTCCAGTATGAAGAGAGGTGAGACATGTCTATCTACCCCGGGTCAGGATGGGGACATCCCTCTGCACAGAGGGGTTGGAGGGGGGACATCTCTCCAATGTGGGTTGGGGACAGTTGGGGACATCTTTTGGGTGCAGAGGGGTCAGAGGTCCCGTGTCCCACCTGCCCATTGTTGACAGCTGCGTGTTGCGCCGAGCAGGTGAACATCACCATGGTGAGGAACTTGTTGAGCTCCGCCACTGTCTGCAGCGAGGAGGGGATACCTGGGGGTGGGGAGGACAGGAAAGAGCATCAGGGACCTGTCCTTGTCCCCACCACCACCCCTGGGACATCCCATAGCACCCATGGGTGCGGGAACACGGTACCTGAGGACGTCCTGCCCATGAAGCCGTTGGTGAAGATGTCCATCACCCACGCCTGCAGCTCGGCATCCCCGCTCACCGCTGCATCCTCCCCATAGTAGAAGGCCACCATTCCGGAGACGAAGCTACCGTGGGGTGAGGTGATCCATGAGGTCACAGAGCACCCATGGGGCCACCACCAGCTGTCACCCAACCCCCCTCGCCCCACCTCTCAGTGGCTTCCCAGAGTCTCAGCCCATCATCCCGGTAGTGGTAGTTGGGGACGTGGGCCATGCCGCGGTGGTGGATGTCATCAGGGAGGCAGAGGGAGGTGTAGGTGACCTTCTCCAAGCCCCGGCGGACAACCAGCAGCATCCCCTCATAGGTGACCCCCGAGCCCTGGTGGGGAGGGGGCACCCATGGGTGCTCAGGGCAGGAGGCACCATGTCCCCCTCCGACCCTTGGCTGCCCCAGAACTCCCCAGCTCCAACCCCCGCCATGCTCTCGAGTGTCACCCAGGGTCTTCCATGCTCCCCAGTGCCCCCCAGTGCTCCCAGGGCACCAGTACTCCAAGTACTTGCCCCAGTAACCCCCCAGTGCTTCCAGTGTACCCCACTGTCCCCAGCGCTCTCTAGTGTTCCCCAGTGCTCCCAGCGTACCCCAGTGCCCCCAGAGTACCAGTACTCCAAGTAATCCCCCCATATGTCCAAGTATACTCCACTGTCCCCAGTCCCACCATGCTCTCTAGTGTCCCCCAGGGCCCTCTGTGCTCCCCAGTGCTCCCAGTATAACCCCCTTGGTCCTGACTGCTCCCAGGGCATGAGTACTCCAGGTATCCCCCCAGTGCGTTCCAGTGCCCCCAGTATGCCCCCGCTAAGTGCTCCCATTACACTCATCCCTCCCCCAACCCCCACTTGCTAGCGCCTCCCAGTATTCCCAGTATACCCCACTGTCCTCAGTGCTCCCCAGCCCCACCCCCATGCTCTCTAGTGTCTCTCAGTGCTTCCAGTCTACCCCAGTACCCCCCAGTCCTCTCAGGGCACCAGTACTCCAAGTATTGTCTCAGTAACCCCCCCCAGTGCTCCCAATGTACCCCAGTGCCACCAAGTGCTCCCAGAGCACTGGTACTGCAAGTAACCCCCCAGTATGTCCCAGTATACTCCACTGTCCCCAGTCCCACCATCTTTTCTAGTGTCTCCCAGGTCCCTCTGTGCTCCCCAGTGTCTCTCCCCAGTATACTACAGTGCCGCTCAGTGCTTCCAGTAGACCCCAGTGCCCCCTCCCAGTGCTCCCAGTAGACCCCAGTGCTCCCAGTCCCCAGGGCTCACCTTGTCGATGACGCCACCAGGGTTGATGAGGACGGTCCGGGCCAACTGTGTTGATGTGCAACGTGAAATGGAAGTGGGGGATGAGGAGCTGGTGGTGGGAACCAAGACCTTGGAGATGACCAGGGACCTCCCAAGGAGCCGGGGGGGGGGGGGGGGTGGGAGGGCGTTGGGTGGGGGGGTCAGATGGGTGGGGAGCAGTGGGTGGTCCTGAGGTGGGACCTTACCTTGAAGAGGGGGTGACAGGAGGGCAGTTGTCGTAGGGTGGCAATGGCGAAGACCTCCCCGAAGAGGTGGGTCCTCAAGAGGTGGGTGAGGAGCTGGTGGCTGTAGAAGTCAGCGTTGCGCACCCAGGTCTTGGCCAACAGCCAATCCCACTCGGCGTCGCTCGGCAAGAAGATGGGGCTGGTGGGCCCCGGCCTTTGGCTGAGCTGCAGGACGCAACCACGTGGGTTGGGGCCATCTCCACCACCACCATGGTGGGGGTTGTCCCCTGGTTTGGGGTGGGATACCCCTACCTGGATGGCGATGGGGCGTAGGAGCCCGTCGGCTCCCTGGTGCAGCAGGCAGAGCGGGGCTGCCAAGTGCTGCTGGCGCCCATGGATGGTGCCAGCGGGGATGCCCTCCAACACCTCGTAGTCCACGATGAAGATTCGACCTTCTCGTATCTCCTTACCCAGGTTGGTGCCACCACCCAAAGAGCCGGCCACCATCTCCGGCGTCACTGGGAATTTGGCCGGCAACGCTGTGCATCGCTGGATGACGATGGGGTTGTTGCCGTTGAGGAACTGGTAGCCAAAGAAGTCATCTTCTTTCCAGTGCCTGGCCACATACTCGGGGACTGAGGGGGTAGCCAGACATCAGCACCCAACTGCCCACCCTCCACGTCAAGCCAGGGGCTTCTTGGGAAACCCTGGGTGGTGGGGGAGGACACACAAGGCACCCACCAATCTCCCTGCCCTGCGTCCGGGAGAAGATGCTGCGCATCTCATCCAGGCTCTTCCAGGAGGTGGGTCTCAACAGGAACCCTGATAGAAGGTGGGAGGCTGCTCTACAGGACAGAGGTGGATCTCAGCACCCAGCATCCCTTCCCTGGCCCCCCGCCAGCCTCCCGGGACAGGGTGGCACTGGCGATGCTCTTCACTCCCATCATCCAGATCCTCCCTCAACCTTGGGGCATTTCTTACTGGAAGATGAGGACACCGTTGAAGTTCTTGGCCCTCACGCAGGAAAACTGAATGTTGGAGTCCAGCTCAAGGATGGAGTCCACGTTGAGGCAACGAGGCCAGCCCTCGGCAAAGCTCTTCCACCTGCGGGTGGGACATGGAGACACATGTCAGCATCACCACTGGCCAGGCCACCGTGGCCAAGGTGGGCCTCCATCCCTATGTCCCTGCTCTCACCGGTAAGCCTCCTGCCGTGCCTTCAGCTCTTTCCGCCGATGTTCCTTGAGGAACTCCAGCTCATCGTCCACCAGCTTCTTCCCTGGAAAGGAGGAGAGAGGGGTCAAGGTCAGACTCCCCAACTAGCAGAAGAGGATGGGGATGGGATAGGTCCTACCTGAGCCCTCCCGGACCTCCACCGTGATGACCCCCTCCAGCCACTGGTGGCAGGGGAAGCGGTAGAGGGTGCCATCTGGGGATGTCACGTGGACATCCTTGCAGTACCAGGCATCCTCCAAGAAGAGCCGCCACTTGTGCAGGCGGATGAGGACGATGGCACCCAAGTCCTGGTCACAGTGCACGGTCATCTCCTTCTCCTGGGCATGGGCGGGGTGGGAATGGCTTTGCGGGGGGAGGGCAGCTGCCCCAGTGTGGCACTGGGGGACATGGATGCTCCCCACCAATGGGATGGGGGCTCAGAGCAGCCCCCAAGGATCCTCTTCTAAGATTCCCCCCGAGGTCCTCCCTCAGGACCCCATTCCTCCATCCCCCCCCCCATCCAGATGCTTTTCCTCCATCCCCCATGACTCATATCCTCCAAACCCCAAGACCCCTTCCCACCATCCCCCCAAGACCCCTTTCATCCATGACCACTTCCACCCCCCCCCCCAAGATCCTTTCCTCCGCCTCCCAGGACTCCTTTCCTCTATCCCCCCAAGACCACTTTCCTTCTTCCCCCCAAGCCCCAAGACCCTTTCCCACCATCCCCTCTCAGGATCTTTTTCCTCTATACCCGAGACCCCTTCCCACCATTCCCCCAAAGACCTCTTTCCTCTATTCCTCCATGACGACTTCCCACCCCCCCCGCCCCAAGATCCTTTCCTCCACCTCCCAGGACCCCTTTCCTCCATCCTCCCAAGACCACTTTCCTCCATCCCCCCCCATGACCACTTTCCTTCTTCCCCCCAAGATCCCTTCCCATCATCCTCCCAGGACCCCTTCCCAGCATTTCCCTCAAACCTCGGAGATGACCCAGCCCCTTTTCCACCCCTCTCCAGCAAAACCCATGCCAGGACACCGGGGAAAGCCCATGCCACCACTCATATCCCCATCCCCACACTCACGGTCCTCGGCAGGAGCCAGGAGTTGACGGTTGTCTGGCGGCTCTCGCCAGAGCTGCCCACCAAGGTGATGGAGATGGAGTTGCTGGTCCCAGCTTCAAGGATGTCACCCGTTGTCACCTTCACCTTGTAGACAGGCCATGGCGAGCTGCACCACAGACACGCAGTGATGTCCAAGAGATGCTTTCAGAAAGTGACCACGCATAGGACTGAGGGGGTTTGGGGTGGAAACCTGCCGTTTTGGGTGGTTTGCATGCTGCAAGCCCCGTGACTGTTGCACAAGACGGGTGGTTGGTCCTTCCTTCTCAAAGGGAAGTCTTATCAGATGACTGTTACCGTCTAGCATCTGGCATATCTAATCTCAAAGGATGTGGTCACGGGGACGTTGCCCAAGAGATGGCCCCGGGGATAGCCATGGGCCCAAGGGAAGGGACATTTGCCACATTCCAGCATCTCCCCCTGCCTCCTCAGAGCCTTTTCTGTCTCCTGCCACATTCCTGCCCATGCCGCTGCCCCCCACTTCCCCAAAAGCTCAGGGGATGCCGGGGAGCAGCTCTTGTGGGGCCATCAGGGACTTCCCAAAGAAAGGTGGTGGATCAACTAATCCTGGGAATCATTTCCAGGCACATGAAGGATGAGAAAAGCATCAGGAGGAGTCAGCATGGCTTTACCTGGGAGAAGTCATGCTTGACCAACTTGATAAACTTCTACAATACAATGACTGGCCTGGTAGACAAGATGGGGCAGTGGACGTTGTCCACCTGGACTTCAGGAAGACTCAACACAGTCTTCCATAAGATCCTCCTAGAGAAGCTGGTGTATGGGCTGGATGAGCAGTGAGGTGTGCTGTCAACTGGCTGAATGTTTGCAAGGTTGCAGATGACACCAAACTGGGAGGAGTAGCTGAGATGACAAAGGGCCCTGCTCCCACCCAGAGAAACCTCAACAGGCTGGAGAAATGGGCTGAGAGGAACCTCATGGGGTTCTACCAGGGCAAGTGCAAAGTCCTGCCCCGGGGGAGGGACAACCCCCAGCACCAGGACATGATGGGGACACCAGGCTGGAAAGCAGCTTGATAGAAAAGGCTCGTGGTGGACACCAAGTTGACCATGAACCACGAGCCTTTGCCACAAAGGCAGCTCATGGTGGAAGGAGGGTGTCCTTCACCTCTGTGCTGGTGGGGCCACACCTGGAGGGCTGGGTCCAGTGCTGGGCTTCCCAGTACAAGTGGCCATAGTGGAGAGAGTCCAGAGAAGATGATGAAGGGATGGGAGCAGCTGGTGCCATACTCAAGGTTTGGGCTTCCATGATCATGGATCTACCTTTGAGAAGCCAGGGTCTGTTGGGAGCTGATGGGGTTCATCTGACCAAGTGGGTCTTCACCAAAAAGCTGTCCAGATTTCTCTTAAGAGCCTTAAACTAGACTTAGGGAAGGGCCACCAAGATGATGAAGAGACTTGAATGTCTCTCCAAGGACAAGTTGAGGGAGCTGGGATGGTCCAGCCTGGAGAAGATACTGGAGTCGGGGGGAGATCTCCTCAATGTCTATAAATATCTGCAGGGTGTGGAGAGGACAGAGAGCCTCCTTCCCTGGTGAGATGGAGGGAAGGAGCTCACCCCATGGGTCAAACCCTGGAGCAGCTCTGGTCAGAGTGGCTGTGATCCTTCCCACCCCTGGGCCACCTGTGGAGGCCAACGTGGAGAAGCTCAGGCCTCCAGGTCCTCCACCTCTGCCTCCACAAAAGCCCCTCGAGCCCTGTGGTGGCCGCCCCAGAAGGGATGGTTGTACCCCTGACACCAGCTGGGTCCCCTCCACCACTATTTGGGGAACGACATGAAACCAAGATGGGTTCTTGAATGTTTAATAATGCAGGAAGGGAGAGGAGGGACAAGACAGGACAGAGGCCACTGACAATGGACATGGGGATACACAGAAGCATGCACTGGTCAACATTGGGGTGGGAGTAGGGCTCTAACTCCTCAGCCCCGCCTTGGTGTCTGCTGGGGGTCAGAGCTAAGCAACTGAGAGCACTGGAGACATGTTCATGGGGACGGTCTCCAAGTTCTTGCTGTGGCTTGGTGAGGTTGGAAGTGATGGGGACAACTGGGGACCCTGAGGGGGCAGTGGTAGGTCCAGGAGGGAGCTTCTCCTGCGGGTTCAGGCAGTAGGGGAGCAGCATTGCAGGGGTTTGGAGGCTCGAGTTGCTCAGGGAGCTCACACACAGCTCAGGCGTTGCCCCCAGAGCTGGGATTAGGGGTTGGTGTTTCCGCTGTGCCCATGGGGACAAGCCACCGGCGGGGTCATTGCAAGAAGGGGGCTAACAGCTGCCTTGGGCTGGCCTCTCCTGGCCATATGCAGGTACGTTGATCTGGCTGGCCTTCACAGCCGTCCGCCAGACAGAGAGGATGTTCTTGACAGGAATCTCCGGGACCCAGGGCATCTGTGAGGGACTTCACAGAGGCAGCGGGGACGTGGTTGTCTTCCAGGAAGAAACTAAAGGCGTACTTCAGGCTGTATGTGAGGCAGAGCAAGTGGGTGAGCGGGTGGAGGTGGGGTGAATGTCCCACCACCCCCCAGCAGCACAGCCATGGTCAGCATTGGCTGTCAACAATAAGCACTGTCTTGGCCAAGGTTGTTGGTTAATGGCGGCTCTCAATGGTGGCCAAAATTGCTGGTCAATGATGTCCAACACCTCAAGATAGAGGCCACCCTGGGGTATCTCCAGCGGCATCAGGAGCCAATGGGGCAGCTGATGGCTGATCATAAGAAAAACCTCTTCTCACCAGGGGTGATGCTGCCTTGAGACAGCCCCCAGGATAACCATCTCCAAAGATAGAGATCTACCAACATGTAACCAGACAAGGCCTTGAGTAACCTGCCTGGGGCAGGACGTGGACCAGAGACCTTCAGAGATCTCTGCTCGACCAAACCCTCCCAGAAAGCTGCAACTCCTGCCACCACTCTGGCTGTCCCAGGATAAGACCTGGACTTACTTATGATCAGGCTGAAGTCCAGACAGGGCCACCATGATCATCTCGTGCAGCTCAATGAGGAAGAGGTCGAGGTTGGTGTTGGACAACGTGGAGGACAGGGCTTTTGCTTCTTTCTCATCCAGCTTTCCCTGGAACTCCTTGGGCATCAGGCAGAAGGGATCCTGCAAAGGTCACCACAACCCTCTTGTGTCCCTGAACCTCCCCTATCAGGGCCACCAGCGAGCTTCCAAGACATGACCCAGCCTTGAAAGTACCCAGGGGAGTGGATTGTCTTCAGAATGGGCCAGAGACCTTGATTTTACCCAGGGAAGGGATGAGACATAGATGTCAAAAATGCCACCTGGCTGCAGCAGCATATTTCCTCTCTCCTCCCAGGGGGGAAAACCCTATCTCCTCCCCCAACCTCATCCCCCTCACCTGGTTCATCTGTACCAACAGCATGGACCTGCGAGCTGCCAGGACCTGCCACAGCGACAGGATGTGCTTCAGCTGGGTGTGGGGCACCACCTGAAGAAGGGCGACAGAGGGGCACAGGCGTTCAGCTCCTTGGAAAGGTCCCACCCATGTTCAACTGGAGGAGAACATGCTGGGCCACCAACATCCCCCAACAGCTGTACCTCAACTGCCTGGGTCAAGCATCCAGGTGGGCCCATCTACAAACCCTCGGCTCCCACATCACTGGTGTCCCCCACCAAGGTGTTCCGGGCTGTCCACAGTGCCCGAGGTCTCCCCAGGACCTCTTTGCTCTGAGCAGGAGACCTCCAACCCTCCACAGACATTAGATTTGGGGACCTTGAAGCAGGTGAAGGTGGTGGGAGCCATGGGAGATGCAAAGACCTTCCCAGAGGGGCAGAGATGAAAGTACAAAGGTCTCACTTGCAACCCTCCCCTTGCCCCTCGCCCACCGGCACATCCTGGAACTGCTTCGCGCTGGCGTCCATCCTCAGCTCCTGGCGGACATACTCGGGCAGTGGGCGTTCTGGGTCACCACCTGTCACAGCCAGGAACTCAGCAGCCACCTTCAAGGTGGCCAGGGCCTTGGAGAGGGCATTGACTGAGCGGGCCTCTTCCATGATGCGCTTCTGCTGGTTGACGCTGAGCATCTCCTGGCAGCAAGAATGACAAGGACATGACCCAGCGAGCACTGGGACCACCAAAATGTGATGCCCTCCCAGCCTGATCATTCCCCCGGTGCAGGGGAATTGGGTCCTGCCAGGTGTCCAACCCCCTGCTTGAGTTGGCTTTGGGTCTTCCCACACATCTGCCTGGTCTCCGTGCCCGCATCATGTCACAGGACTTGAGGGGAAACCCCAGGGTTGGATGGAGGAGAAAGAAGACCGGCAACCCATTTCCTACCTGGGACAGTTGGTCCCTGACTTTCATCTTGGTGGCCTGGAGGGTCCTCACGTTGTTGAGGGCAATGGATGGAGCCGTCTGGAAAGGGTTTGGGACAGATGGTTATGGACATGTCACTTAACAGGGGCCAGCAGAGAAGCTCAGCCAGGCAGATGTGACTCCATGGGATGTCCCCAAGGGTTCTGCAGGAGGTGGTCAGTGGCCTCCTGAGGGCACTGTGGGGTTGTGTGGATCAGGAGAGGTCCCCATTGTCTGGAGGAAGGCATTTCCATGAAGGAGGATCTGAGGAACTCACAGCCTCACCTCCCTCCCCAGCAAGGTGATGGAGAAAGTCCTCTTGAAAACTATTTCCAAGGATCAGAAAGGCCCTGGGAACAGCCAGCATGGACCAATCTCCACCTTTATCACACACCACCCAGTTGCTGCAGGACAGCCTGGTTCTAGTGTCCTCAAAGTCCCCTTTTCCCAACAGCTCCAGGCTTCATCTTCACAGAATGGAGACCTCCAGCCAGGGATGTGCTCCTCTGAGGTGGTTTAGAGTCCCACTTTGGACCATACATAACCCTGGAAGATGCTTCTTGAAGTTCTCTGAACAGCTACCAACCATTCCTTTGTTCTCAAAGAAACCAGCTTGGCTTCCCCTTCGCAAAAGACAGGGCTGTAGGTCCTCACGCTACCTTTCAGGCCACCATTTCATGACCGCAGAAGTGGTTTCTGGCCATGAGATTCCTTCAAACCCCTAAGACAGAAGACACCTGCCAATGCCTTCAGTTGAGTCTGCTGAGACCAGAAAGGCACACAGAGGAGGCTGGAAACAGACTCCAATCCCACTTCTGGCCTGGGGCAACCCAACGTGGCCAGTGCTGAGCTCACCTGGGCCCTGATGATGGGCTTCCCGCTGATGAAGCGATGAACCACTTGCCGCTGCAGCATCTGGAAGTCGAAGTAGGCTGTCTTGGTGCCATCTTCATCTACCTCGTACTGCAAGTTGGCAAGCGCCATGGTCACCAGATCGCTCTTGGTTACAGCCAGCACGGAGGAGGGCTTCACCTCTTCTGCAGAGATGGACCTGGGAGAGGAACGGTTGCCCTGTGTGGGTGCAAGGCCTCTCACCTCATCCTGCTCTGCCAGCAAGGACCCGATTTGCTGAACATCAAGCCACCAAGACCTTGCAATGGCATTTCTAGGCCACCACGGCTCCCCTGCAAGCCCCATGCCAGCTCCGAGAACCTCTCATGGAACCTTTATGGAAGGTGGAGGAGATGGACAAGCCTGGGGGTAAACAGCTCTACACCTACCGTTGCTTCTCCCTGGTGATCTGTGCAGCTGTGTTGACACAGTTGTTTTGCAGCTGTATGAGGAACCTGGTCACCAGGTGGCTAATGGACGGTTGGGTGGGGAGGAGGTGCAGGACAGCAGTGTTGATGTTGATACTGTTGGGCGAGAGGTCCGGCAGGATGGCGATGCCTGTAAAAAGGGCAGAGTGGTCTTCTACCCACTCTACGGATCCCAGGAGAAATTATCCCTTCCACTGAGGTCTTGGAAGGGTTTTTTATTAGGTTTTGTATTTTCAGAAGGGTTTTCCAATTTGTTTTTAGCAGATGGAAAGCAAGCAAGCTCAGCAATTTGGCTACGAAGAGTAGTTGCAGAAAGCAGCTCAGCTTCAGAGCACCTCCAGAAGAAACAGCTCAAGGAAAGAGGGATGTGACATCATCCTGGGGATGACCACATACCTGAGCTGGATGGGTTTGTCTTAATATTGCTCCAAACTTTCAGGATCGTCTCTATAGCTCTGCTGAAAGCCAAACGCTGGTCCTCTGTGGACATGGAGGAGAAAACAGCCCCATCAAAGCATCTCCCAGGAGACATGTCAGGTCAAAGGATGTCTCCCAACATACATCACTGGAGGCATCACCCCACATCACGCTGTGCATTGGCTCGAGCTGAGCTTTGAGTCTGCCTGAGTCCACGCGTGACATCAGTCAACCAGGCACCGCAACATATGAGCTGAAAAGCCCATCTCGCCTATCTTGCTTGCTCATGGCAGAATAACCTCGCCAAGCACCAAATTCCCCAGGAGAAAGGATCTGTTCCAGATCCATCTCAACGCCTCAGACCTCCACCCTCTCCTAAATTGCCCCCCCCAAACTGCTCCTGTAGAGGCACCCCCAGCTATTCTTGCATTGGCTGGGTTGACTCCACCACACAAACTACGGCAACACTTTCTCAGTGAAGCATCTGGGCGCTGAGGGGTGTTTAACACCCATGTCCCAGGCGTGATGGAATTCCATATCACACCTGAAAGTTCAGGCTGGTCCAGGAACTGTTGGACTGTGTAGTCTTCCCCTTTATGGCTGTTTTGGAAGAAGTGGATCAGGGCATTCTGCAGACGGAAAATGTCGGGCAGGTGTCGGACGTGTTGGATATTCTCGAGCTGGAAGAGAAAATTCAGCATGATTCAAGGGACAGGGGTCTGCTGGGTAACCTGGAGGAGGACTTTGTCTTGCTTGGATGTTCCAAAGAAACACGGGGCGGGGTGGGAAAAGGTTACCCCAATGCCCCATGGACACCAACCAGGCTGAATCTACTCAGTGCCTGCTTGTGTGTGGAATAATTACTAAAATGACCAAAACACAGCATTGTTCACACATTAAGGAAAGGTATAAAATCAAAAAAGCATCTAGGGTAAAATGCAGCTGCAGCCGGTATGCAAAGAATCCACCACGCCACCTGAGATTCCCAGGACAATATTGTTTGCGAAGCAACACAGGGAGCAAAGCGGGCTGGAGAGCTCACGGTGTCTCCCTGTGATGGTACAGCAGGTACGGGAGCGAGGTGGTACCACAGAACTGATAAGCTGCACACTGGCCACCCTGAGCCACTATCCTGTTGGGTTTTGATGAAAAACTGTCCTTTGTGCGAACTTTGGTCATTACAATGTCATTATAATACCAAAACACACCTCCATCCCAAAGGCTACCCGCCTCCAAGGTGCGACCACTCCTCTTTGAGTCTGCACCCCGAGTTTTCGTAATCTATACCTTTAGATGTGAGGCGAGAGACTTTTACACCAATCATAATAAAGGTATTTATGACTGGAGTCACTCAAACTCCACCTTGAAGATAAAAAAATAGTATAAAAATAGCCCAGGGAAGAGGGGAAAGTGGGGGAAGACACCATCGTATGAATTTCTGGGACCAGTCGACGGGCTGAGCCTCTCTTTCCCTCCCCATAGGCACTCCTCTGGGTAAGACTTCAGAACTTCGAAATCTTTCTAGAATGTCTCTTTTCTATATTTATAGCCTGGCTGTATTGCTATAACTTTGTTGCATGCTTTATATATACCCTTATTTGCACGTGCTTTGCAGACGGTGTATTTATCACCAGCAATCATAAGTACCTCTATATCTGTCACTTAAATAAACTGCACCATTTAAGTAGCTAGTCGTTTTGGTTTCTCACTGAACGCGACCAACGAGTGGCCCTGCTAGTTCATGAGCTCGACTAGACTGAAGGTGCCGTCCACTATTAGTGTATCCGAATTGTAACAGTTTAATGTATTGAACCCGATCAGACTGATCGTGGTGAATTGGTTATCACTCAGATTTTCTGCCTTAACCATTTCACGTGACAATGTGTTTTGGAGGAGAGGGGATGTTTCCACAGCAAACCTTTGACAGGAGCTCCAGCAGAATGGGGTAGGGGTTGCCAGTGCCTTCTCCACCTTCCTGCTGTAGGAAATGCATCAAGGTCTGGATGGTTGTCTTCCGTTCATATCTCCACATGCAAGGTTGGTCGATCAACTCCTGACTCGGCAGCTCTTCAAAAGGTGGCGTCTGACCATAAACTATTTTCAAGAGGATGCTGGAGCCCTGGGGACCTTCATTCATCCTCTGCTCCTTGACAGAATTAATGCTTTTGTCCAATCCCTGCAAGAACCCAAGGGTCGTTAGGAACCACCCTTCATTACCCAAGCAGCCTGAAGGGATTCACAGGGTCTTAGGGCAAAGAAAAGCAACATGAGCTCTGAAGTAGTTGGGGGAATGCTGAGAAGTTGCCACCAAAGGGACAAGAACAGAACTTCCCAGGGAGAAACCCAACCAGTTACCAAGGAGGGTCTGAATCGGCCTATAAAAAGCATCCAACGAGCCAGATCTCTGCAGGAGCAGAGCAGGAGACTGCACCAGGACAAGGTCCCAGATCAAAAAAGAGGGGACAAATCTATTTTTTTCCACGTGGGAACACCCTGAGCTCAGTAGATGTGTCTGGACATGGATGTGCTCACCAGCAAAGCAGTGCTTTGGGTACACGATGCCTGTGAGCAGCAGCTGGGCACAGGCTTACCTGGAAAAAGGGTTGAGCCAGGGCTTTGAAGGAGGTTTCCCATTCTTCTCGGTCCTTTTTCTCAGGCAGGATGCCCAAGGCTACATCTTCATCTGTAGAAGACACAAAGGAACACATGAAATTTTACTCTGTAGACCCTGGGGTCTACCCAGAGCTTTTCTTAGGTTTCTTGACAGCAAGGAGTAAGGTGATGTAGAAATAAGAGTAATGGAGAGCAGAAGGGATGACACAGATGACTACTTGGAGCAAACAATCTCCCAGTCTGCTCATGCCCTCAAGCTGGTCCGGTCTGAGGGCTTTGAATGAGCTCACTGCCCCCATGGTCCTCCCTGTCTTCTCACCGGTTTCCCAGGATGGAGACTATCCCAGGAAGAAGGAACACATGACACCGGTCCCAGTTAAAACCCAACCACTGTGAGCTGGCTGGTGACCTCCCAGAGCTTCCCAGCGTCTCTCTACCTGTTGGGTTGACGTTGCTCAGGTGTTGTAGAAACAGATGGACAGTCAACATGGCATCCTCTGTGTTCCTGCCGAGTGCTTCTGCCAGGCACGCCACGTCTTTCCGGAGGTGGTCCCAGAAGAACTCTTCCACATCCGCCGGTTTCTTTTTGATCAGGTCTATAATTGCCTGGAAGACAGGGCAGGTTCCTCCATCAGGCTCTCTAGGTCTCCTCCCAAGCTAGGCTGATCGTTCCTCACGGAGTGGTGGTCCCTCACCTCTTTGTTAGCATAGATCCCCAGGAGGAGGGACGAATGGAGCAGAGCTCTCGCAAGACCAATGCAGGCAGGCGACAGGCACCTCTCCAGCTCGTTTCTCCGCAATAAAGGGCTCTCCAGGATGTACCCTTTCTCCGTTTTATCAGTGGTGCTGTGTTCAGAAAGAGCAATTACCCACCATGTCTTCTCTAGGTCCCACGATGGGACATGGAGACCTTTGCTTTGGCCAACCATGACATTCTCCCCATGCCGGTGGCTCTGCAGGAGGGTTAGGTGGACAGGTGAAGTACTTTGGGGTTATGGAACATGGAGGGTTGACTTACATTTCCTTCTTCTCAAAGCCCTCCTCAGGATTGTGGTTAGCTCCCCCAACGACAGCACCACACTGGCATTCCTTCCTTTCCATGGGTTTCCCACACTGCATTTGGACAAGCGAGGTGGGGGAGTGAGAAAGCTTGGAAGCCCAGCCAGGTGTTGAAGGCATCTAGCAAAAGCTGAGGGCACCCAAGGGGTTTCTATGTCCTCCACCTGGCTTTCTACATGGGGTCATTGCAACAGCTAACAAGAGGCAGGAGGAGATGTGTGCCTATGAGGAAACATCTCCAGACCAACCAGATTCTTCCTACAGCCAGTAGGACACATCTAGGTGACAATTTGGCAATGAGACTAACCAAGACCTGGAAGCACCTGCTGCTCCTATGGGGAGACACAAATCCCAGCTTTACTTAGCCTAGTGCCTCACTGGGAGATAAACCCACCTCGCTTGGAGAAGAGCCCAACTGGCTTCTGAGCCCTGTAGCCGCTCTTGCAGCTAAAGGACCACTTGACATAGAGGTGACACTGGAGTCCACACGGGCTCCATGGACAGGAGGGGAGCAGGGCAGCAGGAGGAGCCTCTATAGCAGCCCCCCAGTAGAAATAGCTGGCCAAGAGGCCAAGATGTGTTTCAAGATGGTGCAAAGGGGATGGGCATCTCTAGGAGCCAGAAGAAGACCTGAGAAGCTCATCTCAAGCCTGGATTTTTCTCATGGAGGTGACAGAGATGAAGTGAGAGGCGCAAGAAGACAGAGCTGCAAAGACCACCAGCCAGGAGACACTTACGTTGGTGACAATCCAGTACAAGCCACACTGACAAGCTACGTTTAAAAGAGGATATGGTTAGTCAGTCATCTCCCACAACAACCTCCGTGATGAGAACATGGCCAGAAGCTCACCGAAAGGGTGACAGGCCTGGTTCCCACCTCCCGGCATCCAGCCCCACCACATGCCCCTCACAGAGCTTGTCAAAAAGAGACCAAAGGTGCTCCGCTCAGGTGGAGAACATGAAAGACTCAACAGGACAGAGGTGGCCTTCATGGGTCTTTAACCCCTGCTTTCCATCCTCTGGCCAATCTCAATCAACTGCTGGTGGGCCCCCTACATGCCCAGCGAGACTGCCCCAATACTTACACCAAACTGCCTCTGTGTCACCAATTTTCCAGTTTTCCTTATCAAAAAGCAGGTCTCCAGGCATGGTGGGAAGGTAGGACCCCTTGGAAAGGAAATGCAATAGAAAGTGAGGTGTGCGGTCACCATCTTCCTATCTTGCTTCCCACCTATCTGAGGAACAATTCTGCTTCTAAAGCAAGCAGTGGTGAGGAAGAGTCCTCCTGCACGGCCACAGCCATCAGCGAGGAACTTCTGGTGAGGGAACAGGGACCAAGTGAGGGAGGGAGGTGCATTAGACAGGGACACGTGAGGCTGGAGTGACCAGTCACGAGTAAAGTCCCCAAGAGTCCCAAATATTGATGAATGTTGATTCCAGAATTGAATACACCATGGGCCAAACATGGCCTTGAAGGGAAGGGAGAAGAACCTTTCTTCACTTCCAAGAAAAGCAACACAATGTTCTGGTTGCTTCTTGCAGCCCTCAAATAACAGCAACAACTCATGCATGGAAAGACCCAAGGAGAAACCCAGCTCAGGAATGAGCATCTCCACCATCATCTGAATGATGGAAGACCTTTGGCAGAAGGAGGATGCTCAGACTGGGCTTCAAACCACCTAATCTCTTCCACCAAATCTCTGCCAGGCCTCCAGCCCCCCTTGAGTCAGCAGAGAGACAAGCATCTCCTGTAGACCATACATCTCATCCACATTTGAAGTAGACCAGGATGGATGGTCACAGTTACGTCTCAGCCCAAGGAACGAAAAGGAAGAGGAACAACGATCCACAGACCAACCAGCTGACCAAAACAAAGCCTGTCTGCCAGGATGGTGGGCTGGAGAGCTCAGCCTTGCGACTCACCTTCACCATGTCAGGCTTGAAGCAGATGTTCTTGAGGAGGTGAGTGATGCGGCTCGGGGACATCACCAGAGTGAATGCACTGTGGAAGACAACCTCCAGCAGGCTTGGGTCTTCCCTGTCACCCAAAGCATCCATGATCTTCTTGGGTTTGTCTTCCAGGAGCTCATTTGGGTTGGATGGCAACTGGAGGATGTTCTCCATTTGTCTCATGACAGACTACAACAGTTGAACAAAACAGACATAAGTGAAGGCAACCAGCATGGCACCTCCCTGTGAGGGCTCTGCTGGCTTCACCGCTGAGGTTCAGTGGCCATGCAAAGCCTCATTTGTGTCCTCTGGCAGCAGGGAGCTGCCACAGTTCTCCACCAACACAGATGGACACCTCCTGTTTCCAGAAGGTTCCAGATCAAGCAATGGTTCCAGACCAAAAACTGTGGAAACCTCCTGTTAGAGACATGACAGATACTCACAATCAGGTTCTGGTTTTCTGTGGAATCTTTGCTCTTTAGCTGATTTTGTGCTTTGTCCATCACTGAAAACATCAGTGTTGCATTTGACCAGGTGTTTCTCTCCTGAAAAATACAGATGCACGCTGTTATCCTAAGAAGCAAGTGGAAGGGCAAGAAGAGGAGGTTGATTGCACCCTATGAGTGCCTGTCACCCTCCCCAACTGGAAGGGAGTCCCAGGAGTCATTTTTATAGGGCTTGAGCTCAGAACAAGCCACCAGTGAAATTTTATAGGGCTCAAGAAACAACCCACCTGCGAAATTTCTACCCCTTGGGGTAAAATCCACTTCTCCACCTGAAGCATCTTCCATACAGAGGTGAGCCCATAGATGTCACAGAGATTTCTGATGAGGAAAACCTGAGGCCACCAAGTCGGAGCCTTTGCAACCAGCTGCTTCATTGCATTCACCAGGTCTTGCTCTTTCTCATTCTCCTCAGCAGTGGGTGCATTGGGATCTGCAGCTAGAAAGGAGGTTCCTCGTTATACCCAGTCCCCAGTGGTGGCACGTCACACATGTTCTTCACCAGCACAGCCCCTATGGCTGTTTAGGATCTAGGTCACAGTAGGATCTTCTCCCCACAGGCTGAAACATGGCTTCAAGCCAATGTATAGAAGGGTCCCCAAATACATAGGGAAATACTTGGAGAACACACTGAGTCTGAGGACTGAAGAGCTGGAAAGCTTGTCCCAAACAACTTCAATTTTCATAAAACCAGTAATTTCCCAGCAAAAAACCTCCAAGGTTAGACCCTTTTTGGGCTTGTTCTAGACCTGCTTAGGAGCAGGCACAGATCTCATGCTATGCTAAGCAAAAGAACTCACCAGAAAGCATCTGTCTGCCAAGGACAGTGGCCACATGGCTGATGGAGAGCCGGAGCTGGGCGATGAACTGGAGGGTGTTAATTCTTGAGACCTCGGGCTTGCAGAAAGCAGATAGGTCTGCAGTGGAGAGGCATTTTTCAGCAAGCTGGCTGATGTCTTCTTCAGAAGAAGGATACATAAAATCCTGCTCAAGAGAGAGAGAGAATTTTTAAGAGTCTGAAGTTGGGTTATAAGTGAGCAGCTCCTCCTCCTTCCTTGTGCCTTCTCCTCATCTTTAAGGTGAGGTCCTCCTTTGGTTCCTCGTGCATAAAAAGATGTGAGGGGAGGGTAATTAATGCGATTAATAGGTTTTAGCTGGTGTGGTGGCTCCAAGTTATGGTGTTCATTGGGATTCCCAGAGCATCCTAACAGGCACTCACCTCCAGACAGTGCACCACCATGAAATAGAAGTGATCCATGTTACTTTGGTTGGAGATTATCTTCTCCTCCATCTGGGACAGGTATTCTTCCAAGTGAACCTTGACGTTGTTGAACCTAGGGCAGAAAAGGACACAGAGCATCAGCATCCAGGTAGCCAAGGGGTCCAGCAACGGGGTTTGGGAGCAACCTCGGGGCTGACCCGCATCGCAGCAGCAGCTTCAGGAGGGACGACTGGATGGTAGGACTGGTGTCCATGCACTCTTCGAAGGGCGACAACTCGCTTTTCGGCTTGTACACTAGGAAGAAAGACAAAACCCATCATGTGACTTCCAAGAGCGTGAGGTCAGACCCAGATAGAGTGGAATCAAGCTCTTTTACCTCTTTTCCCTGCCTGTTGCTCAGGATTGGGTTTGCAGGCCACAAACTGTATCAGTCGCTGAATGATTTCGGCAGACAGTGGCTGTCTGTCTCCCAAAAAGTACATGGTGATGAACTCAATGAAGAAGGAATTGCATTTCCTCCTGAATTTGTTGTGACAGGCGACAGCTTCCCTGGAAGGAATAAGAAAACCGAGACTTGTGGTCAACCTCCAACCGAGGAAAGAAACAACTTCCCTCTCTCTGCAGAGCACAGAACCCAAACCAGGGAGACAAGATGGCCATTTGTTCAGGCACCAGCATCTTCTATCCCAATATTTAACATGAAGACACTTAAGACAGGCAGGTTTTTGCCAGCACCAGGATACCTTGTGGCCTCCGAAGCTGTGGGTGTGTAATCCTGCGGGAATTCCTCCTTGCAGATCTTACACTGCTTGTTCTCCCACTCCAGGATGCAGCGGGTGCAGAAGATGTGGTTGCAGGGCAGCTCCGCCGGGTCAGTGATCTCCCGCAGACAGCTCTTGCATTCCTTCACACCCTTCCTGAGGGACACCACCACCAAAAGAAGAGGCAGCTCAGCTCTGCTGCCGGATTTGAGGAGGGGCCTGGGTTGGCTCCTGCCTAACATACACGCTGGGGTGGGGATGAAGCTGGATGAGCCTGGCCTCACTGGTGAGTCGAAAACCAGGGTCACCCACCCCCACTTCAATAATCAGCAGCTTCTAAGCTGCTTGAGGACCATCCCATCCTGGGGAAGCAACGGCCCGTGGTGAGGATGGCTGGGCGAAGGGGATGGGGAGCCTGGGTGCTCAGGGGAGCTGGTTTCTTTAGCACCACACCTAAGAGAAGTTCCTCCAGAGATGACTGATCACCTCCAAGACAGGCTCTCAGCCCTTGGATTTCAGTGTGGCCACCCTTTGGCCCAAAGAAGTTCACCCTTCCTGCCAACATATTTCCCCCCCCCTTTACAAACATTGCATCAATGGAGAAGAACCCCAAAATCAACTTTTTTTCAGCTTGGACTTACACCAGATACACAACATCGGCATTCTGGTTGCATTTCTTCAGCACTTTTGTCACCAAATCAAAAGTCTTCTCTGGCTCAAATCCTGGGGTTGCATAGAGGCGCTGCAAAAGGCAAACACACAGTGCAAGTTCAGCAGAAATGTCTCTCTGATGCATGAAGGACAAACATTATGGGATATCAGTGCTGCAGGGACACCAGGTTAGACAGCAGAATTAAGCAGATCCATGTGTGGATGTCTCTGCGTGGACCTCTGAGGGTAAAGCCTCCCTTGATTCCAAATCCTTATTTTGGATTCTGAATCCAAATAGTGTTTGTCTCTTGGATGGTGTTTCCAGCCTTTTCCCATTCCTAAGCCCTCCCTGCAGCTGGGACCAGAGGTCTCCTGGAAGAGAAGAGCCCTTCCAAGCTTCACAGCCATGAGCCACCCCAGGAAACACCTACATTCCAGAGGAAGATGAACTGCTTCACCACAAGCCTCAGGAGTTTCTCATCTATCTGTGCCTCGTTGTGCAGCAGGTGGTCAATCAACATGTAGACAATGTTGGTGCAGGTCCAGCGATGTCTGTAAAACAGGCCCCCCAAAGGATGCCCGTTAGGTTGGACCACAGACCTCCTGCTGTCCCTTCCCACTGGCATTCATTTCTGAGAGTCATCCCAGGTAGAATGTGGTCCTTGGAGGACACAAGCTCTTCTGAGATAGCATTAGAGGGAGAAAGACATGGCATGGTCCTGCCTACACTGCTTGTTTCGACAAAGCTTGGCCCAGACTGAAACTGCCAGCATGTTTCTGGGTGTTGCCTCTGGAGACACCTTCTTGTGCCGCTCCAGAAAGCACCTTGGACATGAAGCATGCAAGGAGAAAGTCCACCAGAACTAAGCAATTTGATCATGGTGAAACATCCACCACATTTCTTTGAAGCCACTTTGTCACCATGTTTGTGATAATGAGGAAAGACCAGGAAGGAGGGGGACAATTGGAAGACTTGTCACTCCATCTCCCCAAGAGGAGGGTGGCTTCAGTTCAGTTGATTTTCAGTTGTCAAGAAGTTTGCTTGCACTACTGTCAACAGAGAGTGACTGAACTTACAACACACTCTCCAGGAGTTTCTTCTTCTTCTGGTAGAACTGAAGCTGGTAGTCATCCAGGCTGATCCACTCCATCCAGGGCTTAATGGACTTGATGCTTTTGAGCCATGCTACGCAGGCATCAAAGGGCAAAAGTCCATTTTCGAAGGGCTGCACTTTCTTCAGGAGAATGTTCAAGGCATCAAGAGTGACAAACTGAAATGACATTTGCAAAGAGAGAGAAAGAGTCTAAGCAAAGTTCTGACCTCGCTGGTGGGTGGCATGGAGGGAAGGGATACCCCAGGTCTAGACACTGGTATAGCTTTGGGAGTAGCTGACAGGGCAAAGTTAGAAAAAAATGGACTTTTATGAGTGAAGTTCTGTCATCTGTAAACCAGGAAAGACTTTAATGAGCCTAACTACATCTTGGAGAGAGAAGGATCTTGGAGACACCATGGGGAGATCTCCAAAAATCTTATCTTGCTTCTTTAAGCAATAAGCATCTTAGGAGGGGTGTGAACATGTGGACGTGGCAAGATAAGGAGCTGGAGCCCACCACTGAGGTGTGACATAACAAATCCCACTCACCTCAAGGGTCAAAGTGTCTAAGGGGACTTCAACGTGATACCCAGAGTGACACAAACATAAGGATGTCTTACTAATTACATGGTATGTAATTAAATGACGGGAGTTGTGAAAACCATCCCGTTCAAATGCTGTAGGAGAAAGGTTAGAGGGCAAACACAGCTCTTTGCTCACCATTTCTGGGGGGTTGTTCTCATACATTGCCTGCAGCTCTCTTATGACAGTGTCGTTGCTTTTTGCGATGTCAATGAAGAGTTGATAATCGTCTCGGAGGTAGAAATATTCCATGTGAAGCCAAATTGGGGAAAAGTCCATCTCCCCCCTGCCCACGGAGGAGCAGAGTTGTTCTGCGCTGGCTAGGAAAACTTTTGAGAGAATCTGCAGGTAAAATAGAAGGCATTATTTCTGCTCAAACAGCAAGGGGACTAGGGTGGGACACTCAGATTTGCTGCTGTATCCCATATGAAGTTTCCTCATCAAAAATAGCTCTCAAGGTGGAATTAAGACCGAATGCCCATAACAGCTGAGGAGTAGCCACAGAGAAGCACAAGGTAGGGCTTATAAAAACACTGGATTTTGGACAGGAAGGATAGGACTAGGGTCAAAGCCAATGCCAGCTGAAGATGGTGCTCCATCTGACCCTACTCACCTCATAGACAGAGGGGTCTTGTCCAGGAAAAGCCATCCTGAGAAAGTCATTGGCGTAATAGCGGAGCATGTCTGGATTGCTGACATCTGGCATCAAGACATTCTTGATGAAGGTTTGGTAGAATCTGGCCACTTCCTCTGCTGGATTCTTGGGTTGACCTAGGAGGGACAGCAAAGAGAGTTATGGCCACTTAGCAGAAAATGGGAACTCCTGGTGAAGACTGATGTGGACATGTGATCGAGCACAAGGCCATGGGTGGAGAGGCACGATGCCTTCACTGGAAGAGGAGATACAATGCAGCAGAGATGCACAATGCACCTCTGGGTCACTGGAGTGAGGAACACAGCCCCCATGGTTCTTCCTACTAAGGATGTGGATTTTTGGCAGCTTTGTTGTGTTAATGCTCCCCCTGGAAAGTCTGATGATACCTTTCATATGATAGACTTTCTCCCATATGTCGTCCAGGTAGGCTTTCAAAACCCAACTGAATGGGAACTGGCAGGAGAGGGAGGTGTTGGGGTCTTCGGTCATTGATAACACAGGAATCTTAGCATCTGCTGCCCTTGAATTCAAACAGCACAGAAAGAAGCATTAATTTGTGCAACAGACCATAGGTGCCCAGAGGAGGACCACCTCAGAGAAGATCCCAACTCCCACTGACAATTATTCTCTTTAAAGGAGCTCAGAAACCTGGGGAGAAATTTGGTAGGAAAGTCAGAAAAAACTGGGCAAGAGCAGGGAAGGAGCCAATTTTGCTGACAGCTTAAAACAACAAGGAAGTTTTGGTGCCAGCAGCTTGACACCCGAGACCTTCCATGGCAAGGTTTTAAACATCTGCACATCAAGCATAAGCCACTGTTTCACTACAGACACCAACTTTTACTCTCCTAAGGAAAACCACCTCAGTGTACATTTACACCCCGTCTCTTACTTTCTGGTGTATTTAATTTTTAGGAATGTTTCTTCTTGGAACATCTGGATCCACAGTTCTGCGAGAGGAGAGCCTTGAGAGATGTGATCCAGGTTGTTGTTGGCATCCACCACGGCGAGAATTTGGGCAAAGATGCTCGCCACAATGTCTTCCAGGTGTACCCAGAGCGCTTGCCTGAAGAAGGAGATGACACGGCTCATCGCATCGCTTCCCTGCCTCCCACCAAGAAACCCTCCTCTGCCCAGGGGACAGCATCGGTCTTGAAGACCCACAAGTGAACCATAACAACCCAACCACTTCTGAAGATGCCAAATGTAGACATGCAGGCTTGACACCAACCATCCTTTTCTATTTCAGAGTCAACCAAAATTGTTTGCTTCCAGAAAAGCCCTTCCAAAAGAAGCTTCCTCAAAATCAACAGTGTTCTTAATTAATTTTTTGCTTTTGAGACTAGCTATGACCTTTCAACAAGTCTCTACCTTGTTCTAGGCTGGTAAAAACCCACATATTGAGACACTTCTTAGTTGTCACATCTTGGTCTTTAAGCAAACTGCCTCACACTTCATTCCCCGAGCAGTTTTAGGAACAGAATTACTTGACGTTAGGAAGGTGGCCCACAGCCAGCACTACCTGAACGATGTGTCTTCCAGGATGAATTCAGTAGAGAGTGCCCTGCGGAATATCCAGCCCCTTGGTTCTTGGATCGGTTGCTCCCGTTCTTGTAGGAGGCAACAAATTCTCTTCTTCAGGATGGTCAGAAAGTGGCTGGAAACTAATCACAAAACAGCACTGGTTAAAACCCTCCTAGTGCTCATCTCCAACCAGGACACTCCATCAAAGCCCTGCAAGTATTATTTTTATCAGTCCTATGCAGAAATCAACTTCCGTTGGCAAGTGACATCTATTTGGGATCATCTACCAAGGTCTGCAGCAAAGATTTGTGGTTTAGTACAGATTCTGATCATGCACATCAGGGACTTTGCAGGGAGGTGAAGGAGCCCCCATGCAACCTTGCCCTCTGTCTCTTGGGTGCTTTTCCACCCATGATGGCTTTGAGGGACACCAGGACTGGCTCTTAGCCTATTTGTTGTCTTCTTCCAGCCATAGAGCTTGCAATGTGCAAGAAGGAGCCACTTCTAGTTCTCTCTACTCACACGTACCGCTGCTACTCTGAGCATGGAAAAGCAAGTTGTAAAGGATCATGATTCTCTCCGTTGGACGCTTCCTGTTGTCCTTCTTGTCCTCCAGCTGGATCACGGCCTTCTGGATGCTCCCTTTGATCATTGCGTCCATGTTAAGGAGTTGTGCCTGGAAAAGACTGGGCGTCAGTTGGTGCTTGACACTACTTTGCTCTCATTTGCCTGGGGACGCTTGTCCTGGGACATCATCTTCTCCAGAACTTGGCACAGTGGGCTCCAAGGTCTGTACCCATCTCACCATCCCAACAAACCCTGGTTAAGTCAGCCCCCAGGGTGTGGAGGGCTGCTGACATCCCTGGGAAGGGACACTGATTTGCTGACAGTGACAAAAGACTCCTGAGCTTGTACCGGTCACTCAGAGAGGGGCTGGGAGACCATCACCCTACTTCAACCTCACAGTGTGACCCAGGAAGACCTGCAGCTAGTTTTTCGTGTGATAAGGCACCAACCCAAGCAAGGACCTTCAAAAGCAGATCTCAAAATGTCTGGTGATACCCAAGCCAGTTCTTGCACAATGACAAGCAACTAAAATGAGGAGGAAAAAAGAAAATATCATACATTTTCCTCTGGGTGAAGATCTGACTCAGTGAGGCTTCCCGGGGCAGCAGAATTCTCTGGAGAACCTGAAATCACAATCAACCACAAGACTCAGCCATCAAAACCCCAACGAGAGATACGTCCATCCACAGGAGGTGGTGGGAGGGCCTGGACAATCAACAGGGAGAAATAAAGCAGCCCTGGGTTGGAAGCCACCCAGCTGCTTGGTATCAGCTTCTTGATGACATGAGACCCTCAGGCTTGGGGAGCAATTGGCTGGACACCTCTAAGCAAGAATGTGGCTTCAAGTAGCCACCCAGACTTGGCTTGCAATGATGGATCGAACCATTTCTGCCCCGTTTTGCCCAACTATCTAATCAAAGAAGTCCACAAATACGTGTTGCCTCCATATGAAAGTCTCCAGCAGCACAGCTAGCTTGCCATCGTTAACTGCTGCTCCACCATCACAGCTGGCCCATCAGGAGGCAAAGGCCACACTGCTAGGAAGACCTCAGAAGCAGCAAGTGCTCCTGGGACCTGCCTGATCCGGGTGCATTCTTATTCCCAGGTGGGACACTGGAGGATGAGGCAGTGCACTTCTGGAAGGGACAGCAGTGTGGAGACGGTGAGTTTATGGTGAGAGAGTTCTTACCTGATGGGACATGCTGCTGGGAACTGCTCATGAAAATCTCAGCAATGGTCATTTTGGAGAGCTGGCCAAGATTGGTCTTAAAGTTCTCGGGGGGCATCAAGTCATCCAAGTGGATGGATTTCCACTCGCCTGGAGAGGTAAGAGGATGGATCAGTCTATCGGCTCTCTTTTGGTGCATCAGCCAAAACCACTGAGCTTGGCTGCTCAGATTTACCAGCCAACCAGGGCAGGAAGACAGTGACAGATGGAAGATCCACCACTTCACATGTCTTCTCTGCACGTCCTCATCTTCCCCTCCCACTCTTTTCCCAATCCAAAGTAGCAAGTGTAACCTCACCGCTGTCAAAAGCCAGATAGCTGCACCCTCCCAGAACCCGTGGGACTTTAGTGATCAGCACAACATGCAACAGATGGGGGCTGGCCGACCTTCTTCGCTCATCTGTCATGCAGTACCTGGAAGCACCACAAGGTCAGAGCTAGTTAATTCCAGACTTGTTTGGCTGGTAACAACTGCATCTCCTCCCTCTCTGAGCCCTTCCAGCCATTAATCTCACTCCCCACCAAAGGCTGTCGTCATCTGAATCTGCTTTCTTGAGTGGACACCACCCCAAGAGGACATTCTTTCTGGCTATTGTTGGTACAATTTGCTACAACCACAGGGGTGGGTGAGACAACAGAGTTCAGAGCAGAGCCCAGTTTGAGGCTTGGGGGGGGGGGTGGGGGGGGGGGCAGGGAAAGGCCAAAAGGAAGCACAGTTTTATGAGAAGTATGTTGTGCCTGGAAGGAGGAAGGGAGAAGGGAGAAAAGGGGAGGAGGAAGGAGGGAAGGAGGAAGAAGAGAGGAAGGCAGAAGGAGGGAGGAATGAGGGAGGAGGAAGGTGGGAGGGAGAGAGGGAGGAAGGGAAGGAGGAGGAGGGAGGAAGGAAGAAAGGGAGGAGGTGAGGAAGAGGAATGAAGAAGGAGGAGGGAAGGAGGAGGAGGAGAAGGAGGGAAGGGAGAAAGTGAGGAGGGAAGGAGGAGGAGGAGGACTGAAGGAAAAAAGTGAGGAGGGAAGGAGGAGGAGGGAAGGAAGAAAGGGTGGAGGTAGGGGGAAGAAGGAGGAGGAGGAAGGAAGGAGGGTGAGGAGGGAAGGGAGAAAGTGAGGAGGGAAGGAGGAGGAGGAGGGAAGGAGGAGGAGGAGAGAAGGAGGAGGAGGAGGGAGGAAGAGGGAAAGGGAGAAGGGGAGGAGGGAAGGAGGGGAGGAGGGGAAGAGGGAAGGAGGAGGAGGGAGGGAAGGAGGAGGAGGTGGAGGAGGTTAGGAGGAGGAAGGAGGAAGGGAGAAAGGGAGAAGGGAAGGAGGAGGAGTAGGGAAGGAGGAAGGGATGACAAACGATAGGGGAGGAAGAAGAGAGGCCAAAGGACGGCTGCTTACTTGGCACAGGCCAGGAGTCTTTTGCCACTCTGCGGCTCATCGAAATGAAACTGGACAAGGAGCAATTTTGCTTCTTGCGGCTCCTTGAAGAAATTCCTACAATGAAACGGCCTCTTTAATGCTTCCTCCTAGAAAGGTCCCACCCCACCCCATCCCGAAGCACTGTGAGAAGTGGAGAACACCTACAAGGTTAAAGAAATTTCAGAGCCCACCTGAGGTCCTGGCGGAAAGCGTGTTCAGTGTCAAACTGGCTTAGGAAGAGGCAGTGGATTGTATCTGGGAGGTTGAGGGTCTTCCTCAGAACTTCTAAATCCTTCTGGTTTAACAGCCTGGCATGGGTAGAAACCTGAGGCAAAAAGGGAAACCAAAACTGATTGTCCTGCTGCCTCAAACAGGTGGGATCCTCCAGGGTTGGTGCTTGCCACTCATCTACAGGCAACTGGAAGGTGCCTTGAGCATCTCAGCCCGAGCCAGAGCTGAGCAGATCCCGTCTGCCTCCTGAGGAAGTGCAGAGTCTACCCCAGCTGCAAAGAGGGTGGACATTAAGCCCATCATTGTCTTGGCCTAACCGAGATCATGGGGCCACCATGCTCACTTAGAAAACAAACAGCACCCTTGGGTACTTTACAGCCAAGCATGAGTACCTGCAGGCACTGCCCGGTGGTGCTCCCTTCCTTCTGCTGGTTCAACATCTCACGCAAGAGGCTGGTCAGGCTGTTGTGCTTCTGCTTGATGAAATACAGGTCCTGGATCTGTTCAGCCTCCTCCAGAGAAGAGTATTTCAGGCGTAGGATGGAGTCGGGAGTGGCACACTCCACCAGTTTGCTTGTGGCAGCGAAGAAGTCCTGCTCTCCATAGTGTTCGTAGTCTCTGCGGTGGATGTGCTGGAAACTCTCCAGCGCAATGGCGGCGGACGTGTCATCACTGAAGCCAATGAAGACATCTTGTTCCTTGGGAGCGAGTGTGTTGGACCAGATCCCAAATAAATCAGGGTTCTTGATGTAGACAAACTTCCTGGCCCAAATCTCCAGGTCCTTTTTCAGGTTTTGCTGTTGCCAGTTGAGGATGGTGTTCATGTCCAAGCAATGCTTCTCCAGACGGCTCAGGAGAGGGGTGGGGAACTGCGTGTAGACCACTTTCTTCTCCTCTATAACAATCAGCCGGAATTCCTCCTTCACACGGCTCTTCACCCTGTGAGTGCCAAGGCCCAGGTCGACGTAATAATTGTTCCCCAGGCTGACAAAGCATTGATTGAGGGTATCATAAAGGCTCTCATAAAGGTTCTGTATGTTGAGGAGGATAACGGGCCTGCCTATCTCCATGCAGATTTTCACCCTGTTCACAGAGCGGCACACCTGGGAATACTCCTGGTCCCGTGGGAAACCAGAACCAAATATTATGTCACAGTTAGTGGCATCTATAAGCCGCGTCATCTGGATGATCTGAAAGGCAGCGTTGTTGGTCGTCAGCAACAGGAGGTAACGAGACATGAATCCCGCTTCCTGCTTGGCCATGTTTTCCTCCAGCAGACGGATGCAGCTGGTCTCCATCCCATAGGTAACACGTACCTCGCTGGTGCAGTTATGGAAGATTTCCAGAGGACAGATATCTTTGGAGCCTCCAAAATTTCTCTGAATGGCCTTTACAATGAGCTCCTCTTGAGAATCGCCCTTCATGTCCTGCGTGTAGGCCACAATCATTTTGATTAAGCTGTAGAAGTCACGAAGCCCAAAGAACTCCGTTTGCTGTTTCTGCAGCACATTGCAGTAGAAGTTTGCCAGAATGGGGAACAAATGCTCGATCCTTTCAAGGTGAGGTTGGTCAGCACAAATGCCTTTGGCAGTCTTCACCAGCTCTTCCTTGCTAGGTTCAGTCCGAAAGACAAGGAGGCCCCTGTTCATCTTTGCAGGGTCCAAGGCCCAGTTGGAGATGCCCACAAAGCCAACTTTCTTGTAAGCCTCTGGATCCTCATCATCAATGCATCCGTCTTCCAGAAGAGGATGCAGCGTCTTCAGTGGCATATCGGGCGAATCTTCTGCAAGACCGATCTCATCCAGCAGGACCACGGACGCAAACTCATTCAGGTTTTTGCCCTTCTGGAACTGAGCACATTGTCGGAAAGTGGAGATGATGCCTTCTGGTTTGGAATGAGGGCTGCACTGGAAGGAGACCAGCTGGACCTCTTTGAATCTTTTGAACAACTGGCTTCTGGACAATGTGCCTTCCATGGCATCTACAGCGATGGTTTTGGAGAGAGATTTGGAGCTTCCCGGCTTCCCAACCAGAAAGAGTGGCATCCGGAGGTCCATGCAGACAACCATCATAAAAATGTTCTCCTGCAGAGCGTTGTTGCAGGCTGTCGCCTTAGGAATGGAGAGGTGATCAAGAAACACCTCTTGGCACAACTCAATCTCTTCCTGTAGCCGGGATGCAGGGACTGAGAGGCATTTTGCAACCTCCTCCAGGTATTCTTGGCGGCTCTCCAGAGACACGTAGTAGCAGACCCCTACTGAAAGGACCAAAGCCCTTTGCGCGTTGTTTAAGGTTGGCTCCTCTTTCTCCTCAGGTTGCCTCTTCTCATCAATCTGGTGGAAAAGCAGGTCTCCTAAGTCATAAAACCAGAGCACTATTTTCATGCAGCGGTCTATGTCCCGGAGGCTGGTGACTCTGCATTCGTTCTTCTTCTCTCTCAGGAACTTCTGGGAGGCTGAAATGACATCGGTGAAGACATCCAGGTTTCCCGCAGGGATCTTGGTCTCCACGATGGACTTCACAATCTCCGCAATGTACAGGCTTTGCGTCTTCTCATTCAGCTCCCCAAAATCCCAGACCAGAGGCAATAAACTGGGAGGAAGCGGCTGCACCCGATACACCAACTGCCGCAAGGGAATGTAACCCAGCTTCTCCGGGGTGTCTTCACTCCGGACTCGGTATCCCAAGCCAGCTTTCTCCAGTTTCTCAATGGTGTCCTTGGTGTGTCTTTTGTAAGGGTTGCAAGCGGCCACCACTTTTAAGCGGTCAGTGGAAAACTGCATTCCATTGACACTGTGGTCACACAGCACTTCTTTGATCGCAAAGATCGCCTCTGAGGTGTTGGCTTCGTCAAAGAAGAGCACTGTGTCTACGTTGTGCTCTTTTTCATTGTGTTGTGCCAGCTTGATGGCCTGCCTTACCTTATTCTGGATGGTCTTGGAGGTGGTGCCGCCATGAACACGCACCACCATCATATTCTGAATGTTCTTGCCTGCCCTTTGCAGGTTGCACATGAACTGCACCAGCTTCGTCTTCCCGCAACCCGTTTCACCCATGATGATCACAGGGATGCCGCACTGGAACCGCAGGTGAATAGCCAACATCTTCATGGTGTTGTCCAGAGTCAACTGGTACGAAACATCTGGATCCTTCTGGCATTTCACACCAAAGACTCTGCAGAGGGCCTCCAACTGCTCAGTTCTGGATAAGGTTTCAAATTTCTTATTGAAAGGAACATTTTGGAGTGACAAGGTCTCGTATAAACTCTTTTTCATAACTGACCTCTCCAAAACATCCTGGGAATAAGCATCAATAGCATCCAAGTTCTGGTTGATATGGAAACCCAAAAACTCCATGGAATCATCCTCAGCATGGAAAACTATATAAGGGTGAGACTCCTGCTCCCACTTGCGTCTTAGCTGGTACTCTCTCAAAATACTGTCCATCTCCTTCCACTCCTTGCTCGGCACACTTTGATCAGACATGTTGAGGGAAGGCATGGCAAAGTCCTTGGACATGGTGATCATGAACTTGACAACAAATGTTTTGAAGCCTCTAAACTCCACTCCAACCACCAGACTGCAGAAGACCGATTTCTCACACTTTTTTAGCTGGAAGTTCAGGAAGTGTGTGAAGTTGCTGAGCTCGGTCCAAGAGGGGCTGCTTCTCCCACAGAACTTCATCAAGCACGCCAGGCATTCTTTTTCTGTCCCTTCGATACTTCCAGGGACGAAAGTGAAACAATCAAGGTTTTCATTTCGTTCGTATCTGCTGAGATATTGGTAGGACCTTTGGAAAACTTCGCTATTTAGCTTGCTCCGGTCAAACTGTTTCTCCCTCAACCCCACAGGAGGGACAGAGCTGGGATCTTCCATCAACTCGAGCACGCTCTGCGGTGATACACACTCCACAGTAGGAAAAAGATCCAGGAATTTTTCTTCTATTTCAATAGTCATCTAAAAGCAAGAGGACACAAATCACCATGAGGACCATTCTCTAACCTCCCACATTTGCCTACATCATGAAAAAACCTTTTTTTATTTCCCCCTGGTCACAAATGGATTGGAAAGCTGGGAAAAAATGCAGAAATACCAAGAATTCTCCAAGCCTTCATGTGATTGAAACCCCTATAACCATTAAGGTCTGTCTTGCCCAGTGTCCTGTCTTGGGTTGGGTGATCTTGTTATCTTCTCCTACACTTTCTCCTGTTCCACTAAATCCTCTTGGAGATGGAGAGACCTGAACTCAGTCAATATTGAAGGTATGGTGAGGAACCACAGACGGATGATCAACCACTGGGGTTACATTTCACACCTTTAGTAACTCAAGCATGGCACAGGTGCAAATTGGCTTTAAAAGCATGCGTGAGATTCAAGTTACAGCAAAATCGGGATGAAAAAGCTCCCTTTTTCCTCCAAAACTTAGCGCAGAGCCTGTTATTTAACTCTGAGTAGAGACGTGTTTGACATGGTTGCTTCTACGTAGGTGAGACATTGCCCCACTGGAGACTCTAAATTGTGCATCGCTCCAGCAGAGACATCAAAGTTTAGCGGGTTTACTCATGCTCAGCCTTGACGGTTTCTCCAAACCCAAGCACAGACCCCCCAAGATACCTCTTGCTTCCTTGTACTGCTAACACCTTTCCCTTTTGCTAGGTACTCGATCAAGTAAAGATGAGAGGGTTTGCACTTCCAGACCAAGCCGTCGGGGCTCTGTATGTGCCGCAGGATGCACAGGTCAATCAGCAGCCGGTAGAGACCCTTCGATACCTGGTAGGGCAAAAAAATAGAGAATAGAAATTGATGCCTAAGTCTGCCAAAAGGCGCTTGCTGCTCTGATTGGGCTGGATTTGAGTTTCCACCTCCTCCTCTCCCTCCTTGTGTGTAGGGTCTGCTGTCTTTCACCACCTCTTCTTGTCCACTTTAAGATCCAAGCACTCACCACTGGAGAAACATCGATGTGGAAAATTCTGGGCTGAATTTCAGTCACAGATTCCTTGATGGACAAGAGTTCCTCCACAAAGAACTGGAAATCAATGTCCGACTCCATCAGCCTAATGGTTTTATGAAGTGGTAGGATGTCACCCAGCTGGTCACGGACCTTTCTGATGGTATTGTCCACAAAGAGAGACTTCCCTAAGGAGTGGAAGAGAAGATCATGAATCAATCTACCCTTCTACACTTGCACATGACCCAAACCAAGGAAATTTCTCCCTAAAATCATAGTGTGCCATCTCACCTCCTTGGTTTGAAGTACAACTCGGGATCCGACCCCCAAAAAACTTACCCATTCCTGCTTGCTCCGAAAAGACGAACTTCACATTCTGCTGATAGGGCTCTTCGAAGGCTTGAGCGACTGGAGCCATCCCGCTCGGCACTTTGAGATGCATCTTCAGGTAGGTCTGGATTTCTGTCTTGGAGTAGCATGGGAAAGTCCCCTTGTAGGCATCAAAGGCTGTGATAACATAGGAGTGGTGAGCTTTGGCATTGCAGAAGATGATGAATCTGTAGTTGGAGGTGCTGGAAGATTGCACCAGGCGGAAGAAGTGGGACTCGAGTTTTTTGGAAACTTTATAAACTAATTTCTCAGCACCCAGCAAGCAGTAGATCTTTTGGTCTTGGGAACCTGGAGAAAGAGCTCTCCTGACAAGAAGCTCCACCTCCTCCTCCTGCGTGTCGGGTGTGCACACCAGGACCTCATCATATGACGGGAGAGGTGCTGTCTCAGGATGTTGATAGACAAATAGCATGTTGGGTAACATTTCCTCTTCCTTACACATGACGAGAAGCGGTTTCCCTTCTTCAAAGCCTACGGGTAAACTCCTCTCAACACGTGTGCTTTCTAGACTGGCCAAGCGCTTCAGTGTCTCCCCAAAAACATCCAAGCCTATGTATTTATCAGACACCAGGCCAGCAAATTTCTTACAGTAAGCATCCCAGAGCAGAATCACCTTGTCGTAAATAGATGGCAAACTCTCAAAGGAGGTGGCCAACTCTTCGTGTGCCAGGGTGCTGAAGGAAACCTGGTCAGCATCTCTCTTCCCGGCCTTAAATTTCCGTCTCTGCTGCAGGAAGGTTTCTCTTGTCTCCTCATACAACTTGCTGAGCTCTTCAACCAACTCCTGGTTGTCGCCCTGCTCAAAGGCAAAATCCATGAGCATCTGCTCCGTGATGGGTGAGTTGGACAGGCAGCTCTGCAAGGCTGCCTTTGCCACTGACTCACTGTAGCCTGATTCGGCCAAGCTTTTGATGAACTGGGGAAAACGAATGATGTAGTCGTGCCAGGTAACTGATTCCTCACCTCCTGACAAGGAATTCACGGACTCCAGAGGAGTCATCAGCGCATCCTCCAGGGCTTTTTTGATATCTTCTTCTTTGATGTCATGCTTGATGGCGGAAAGCATGATGAGCACCTGTGGTTCTATGGTACCTTTCTGGACTCTGGCTAGCTGGCTGCATAAATAGAAGAGCTGGTGCGCAGTGAACAGGTTGAGATGATAGTAGATGTCCCTTTGAGTCTCCAGGTACTTCTTCCACTCTGACAAACAATGCTCCATCGCTTTAGAGAGGCTGTCCAACTCCTCCAGGAGAGGTTTTGTGCTCTGAACAAGGATATCAGCAATTCCAAACTCCGTGTAGACTTTTACACGTTGCTGGGGGTTGCAGTAGATGTCAGCCTTCCAGTTGATGAAGAGGATGTTGCCAACACTGAGAAGCTCCAGGTACAACTTTCCAACCGTTTCAACTTTTTCCAATATCTGTAACACACCAAAGATACGACAGGGAAATGGATCACACACTGCAACATGTTCTCAGCAGCTTCCAAACACCACCCAGGTCACACTTTCCTCCAGAGATCTGTACAGCTGTAGGCTCCCCAGTACAAAAGAAACATGGGAAGGGAAGATGATGAAGGGACTGGAGCATCTGGCTGTGTGGCTGGTGCCATACTCAAGGTTTGGGCTTCTACAATCATGGACCTGCCTTTGAGAAGCCAGGTTTACCCTTGAGGAGCTGGGTCTGTTGGGAGCTGATGGGATTCACCCAACCAACTGGGGCAAGAGACTCTTCAGCAAAGAAGGTGTCCAGACATAACAAGAGCTTTAAACTAGACTTAACAGGGGAAAAGGATGGAGTTTTGAGCAACAGAGGAGAGCCAAGGGCTGCTGGTGTGTCAGGAAACACCAGTGAAATGCCTCAAGGAATTAGGGCGTGTTCCTCTAAAAAGAACAAGTTGAAAGCTTCTGGGTAAAATCAAGAAAGGAAACCTCATGGTTGATGCTTACTAGCGGATGCCCAATCAAGAGGAGCCTTTTGACGAAGCCTTCTTACTTCATCTATGGGGAGCAGCATGGTCACAGGCTCTGATCCTGCGGGGGGACTTCAATCCCCCTGACATCTGCTGGAAAAGCATCACAGCGAGATGTAAGCAGTCCAGGAGACTGTTGGAGAGCATCTAGGATAATTAATCCAGGTGACAGACAGCCTGACCAGAGGAGAAGCATTCCTAGATCTGTTGCTCACCAACACAGATGAATTAACTAGGCATGTTGAGATTTGTGGCAGCCTGGGCTGCAGTGATCATGCCCTTGTGGAATTCATAATCTTGAGGGACACAGACCAGGTGAAGAGTAGAGTCAGGACCTTGAATTTTAGGAGAGCAAACTTGCAGTTGTTTAATGAATTAGTGGATGGACTCCCTGGGACACTGTCCTCAAGGCTAAAGGAGCTGGACAGAGCTGGCAGCTCTTTCAGAACATTTTTCGTAGAGTGCAGAAGCTCTTGATTCTCACGTGTAAGAAATCAGTCAAGGAAGGCAGGAGACCAGCACAGCTCAGTAAAGACCTCCTGGTCAAACTATTGTTAAGAAGGGAATGCACAGGTAGTGGAAACAGGGACATGTGTCCTGGGAAGAGTATAGGGACCCTGTCTGGATGTGTAGGGAGGGGATCAGGAAAGCTAAGGCACAGTTGGAGCTGAGTTTTGCATGGGATGAGAGGAGTAAGAAGGGCTTCTACAGGGACATTGGCCAGAAAAAAGAAGATTAAAGAAAATATACCCCCTTGTTAATAAAACAGGAGAGATAGTGTCAAACAACATGGAGAACACTGAGATACTCAATTTTTTGCCTCAGTTTTCAATGGTAACCTCTCCCCCAACATCTTTCAAGCCCCTGAACTTCACGGCAGAGACTGTGGGAATGAAGTCCCTCCCATCAATAGGAGATCGGGTATGAGAACAATTGAAGAACTTGTATGTATGTTAAGTCCACGGGACTCTACTCTGCTCTTGCGAGACCCTACCTGCAGCCCTGTGTCCAGCTCTGTGGTCCCTAGAACAAGAACATGAGCCAGCAGTGTGCCCAGGTGGCCAAGAAAGCCAAGAGCATCCTGGCTTGTATCAGAAATAGTGTGGCCAGCAGGACTGGGGCAGCGATCGTCCCCCTGTACTCGGCACTGGGGAGGCCGCACCTCAAACACTGGGTTCAGTTTTGGGCCCCTCACTACAAGACACTGAGGTGCTGGAGCGTGTCCAGAGGAGGGCAACAAAGCTGGTGAAGGCTCTAGAGAACAAATCTTATGAGGAGCAGCTGAGGGAACTAGGGGTGTTTAGTCTGGAGAAAAGGAGGCTGAGGGGAGACCTTACCCCTCTCTACAACCACCTGAAAGGTGTAGCAAGGGTGGTGTTGGCCTCTTCTCCCAAGTAACAAGTGATAGGATGAGAGGAAATGGCCTCAAGTTGCACCAGGGGAGGTTTAAATTGGATATCAGCAAAAATATCCTCACCAAAAAGGTTGTCAAGCACTGGAACGGGCTGCCCAGGGAAGTGGTGGAGTCACCATGCCTGGGGGTATTTAAAAGCCGTATAGATGTGGTGCTTAGGGACATGGTTTAGTGGTGGACTTGGCAGCATTAGGTTTACAGTTGGACTTGATGATCTTAAGGGTCTTTTCCAACCTAAATGATTCTATGGTTCTAAGAAAGACATGGATCTGTTAGAGCGGGTAAAGAGGAGGGACACAAGAATGGTCAGAGGGCTAGAACACCTCTGCTGTGAAGAAAGACAGAGTTGGGGTTGTTCAGTTGAAGAGGCTCTAGGGAGACATTCTTATGCCCACTCAATATATAAAGGGGGCTTATAAGAAAGATGGGGAGAGACCTTTTACCAAGGCCTGTAGTGACAGGACAAAGGACAACAGTTTTAACTGAGAGTGGATTTAGATTGGATCTAAGGAAAAAACATTGTACAATGAGGATGGTGGGAAACTGGTACCGGTTGCCCAGGGAATCTGAGGGTGCCCCACCACTGGAAGTGTTCAAGGTCAATTTGGACGGGGCTTTGAGCAACCTGGTCTAGTGAAAGATGTTCCTGTCCATAGCAAGGGAAGCTGAACTAGATGATCTTCAAAGGTCCCTTCCAACTATGAGTCCCTCCATAGTGAAGCATGAAAGGTCTTAGATGGGCTGTTGGGCCCCACAAGTGAAGAACAAGTGGGAAGCAAATCCCACTCTGTAGCTTGGGAAGGGGGCACCATCCTAGAGCAACGCCTCTGCTCCTGAGAGACCAGAACTGCAGGTCAGGGATGAGTCTCCCAGAAATAATTTCAGCAAAATCCCAAGCCCGGTGGCCACCGTTTTTCAGGCAGATGTTGGTACCACACTGTGACTTACCTCCAAGAAACGGTTTGCTTCCTCTCTGCCCTGCTCAACCTTGGTGGCAATCAACATAAGCTTGTTCTGGAGCTCCGTGAGCTGAGACAAACTGTATTTCTTGTTCTTCCAGTCTGCTGGAGATTCACTTTCCTCACTGTCATTCAGCAGTCGCAACAAGACACAGTCCTCAAGTGTAGCCTGGAAAGCAGAGAAGACAACCAACATTACCACGTGGCCTTTTACATAGCTTTGAGTTGAAATGCTGCACATCAGCACTCTACACGTCTTGTTCCACTTCCTCTGAAGGAAAGAAAAGCCCCTTTTCTGCTGAAAATGCTCAAGGGTTAACAGCAAATTGCTGGTACTAGGTGCAAACCCAACTGGAGATCTATTGGCAACCTGGCACGTTCATTGGAGGTTGATTTCAAGAAAGATCTTCTCTCCCAATAGCATTAAAAAATACAACTGGACAAGAAACTGTCTTGGAGACCCTTCACCTTGAATTTCGGAGGTGCTGAGATGGTAAAAAGCCCATTTCTGTTGATGCTTCTGGCTTGAGAGATTGAAGAACGCTCCACTGAGCCATGAGAGTCGTGAACCATCTGGATCCACTCTTTATTGTCACATGAATTTTTCTGCAAAAGAAGAACCAAAGGAAAACCCAGTAATCAGCTAGAAGGATGCTGAGCACCACTCCCCCACCCCCCAGATTTGATGTGGGTGGGGGTTCTGTGACCATTTCTTCTGAGGACGGGGTTTCCCATGGCTTCCAAGGAGACACAGGACCAGAGTTGGACCTAACACCCCAGAGCATTGGCACGTTGTGAAGCTCTTGTTCTTTGCTCTGGTTTTGGTGGGGAGCAGAGTGTAAGGCTCAGTGACAGCCTGGGGCACAAACACAAAAGATTCTGATAAACAGAAGCTTTTCTATCAGCTTCTGAAACAGGTTCTGGAGTATTCCAGCCTTGGAGATGCTCAAAACCCAAACAGACATGGCCATGAGCTATCTGCCTTATCTGACCCCATTTTAAGCAGGGGATTTGGACTAGACTATCTCCAGACATCCCTTCCAACCTCAAGTATTCTGTGATCCTAAACTGTAGACTCCAGAATTCAATTCCTCCTATTCACAACATCTTCTGGGTCTCCTCCAGTTGCCCACACATGTGTGTAAGGTCATTTGAGATGTTCCATCAGGCTCCCACTCCCAAAAGAGCACAGCCTTTACCCAGGTCCTGCTAGATCCACGTGGATGTCCTGGGGAAACCATCTTAAATGGCATCAGACACCTACACGTGAGCAACTCGGCCTCACAGCAAGCGTCCAAGTGACTTTTGGACATGGGGCTTGAAGACTCACCAGCTTCTTGGGAAGATGACTGTCCTTCTCAATGGCTTTTCTGATGAAAGAGAGAGCTGCAGAGAACTGGTCAAACCCAGCTGTGGGACTCAGGTCTAATACGATGGGGGCAGAGGCAGTCATGGCGTCACGGAACACCCTCACTCTGTCGATATCCATGTCATTTTCACCTGCAGAAATTGATGCCAGCTCCACAAATACGGGGATTTCTGTCTTTTCTGGGGGAAAAAAAATAAAGAAATAAGAAAAATAAGAGACACAGTTGAGCACATCTCTGCTCTGATTCATCTAACACTGGGTTGGATGCGGGGACAGACAAGGACTAAGTGGTCTCCTTCTGTTGCCGTATCTGACTTCCTTCCTTCCAGCCCACCTTTTATTATGGTCTTGATCCAGGAGGTAAAACCTTTCCTTGCACATTCATGAAGTTCCTTCAAAAAGTCCAGGACTCCCTGGGGAATGTCACTCAAACTTTTTTTCACCTTCATTAAGTCTGAGGTCATAAAATCAAGTTTCTTACTCTTGAATTCCTGCTCTTCCTGGAAAAAAAAAAAAAAAAAAACAAAACCAAAAAAAAACAGGATGTGTTTGTTGGGAAGAGAAAGAAAGAAGTTTAGTTCTACCTCCTCCTCCCCAAGCAAGATGAAATCTTGGCCTCAAACCCAAGTCTGCTTTTGAATTCGTCCCTGTAGGCCTCCACGATGACCAGGAAGAGGCAATTGGAAGTAATTCCTTCAGCCTGTCACTCAAGATTAATTGAGGAGGAAGGAATAACACATGATAGGATTTAATTATCAGCTGCCACATGGGTCTGTCTACATGGATTTTCCCTGGAGCAACCACCACAGATGCCCGCGCGTCTCCTACGTACGTATGTCGCCAGGTCGCTGACAAGCTGGAAATCCCCCTCTAGCTGAAGCATCTGTCTCAGAGAATCGATCATCTTGGCAGTGTGCACCACTTTTGAGAGGGTCAAGTAGTTGTCGATCCTCTCCACCGCACCTGCGATCCAGTGAGCTATTCCACCTCTTGGCCCTTCACTGTCCTCCATTATTTTAAACTCCTCTACGAGCTGATCCTTCTTTCTCAGCAGCTTGTCAAACTGGCTCTGCACGGTCCCAAGGGTGATGGAGAAGTCTTTCAGGGACAGGTAGGTTTTCCGGAAGTCAGCAATGGCTGGCTTATAAATTTTTTCTTGAACATCTCCTATGGAGAAAACTTGATCTTCAGGTATTGTGGCTTTGATTTGCTCTGCTCTCATCTTCCACAGCCTACGGAAACATTGGCTTCTCTCCACGATGTAAAGTTTTTGCATCATGTTGTTATAATCAGCAAGGACATGCAAGTCCATTTCAATCTTGCCATCAGTGGAGAACTTCTTCACCGACATCTGATCCTTAAAACTTTCCTTGTCCGTGATGTTTTTCTCCATGGTGCTTCTATCCACTAAATCAGGTGGGAACAAGAAGGAACTTGTCTCTCAACAAGAAGGAACAAGTCACGTAGTCAACAGGTTCCCTGATCATGTATCCCTCCCACCCATTGTGAGACTTTTAGGAGACATCTCCCCACTCAAGAACCACAGAAGAAGCTCCATTAATCCAACTGGTACCTTTTATTATGTCCTCTATGCTACAGCACAGGCGGAGAAAGGAGCGTCTTTGTTGCTTCTGCTCTTCCAGTTGCTCAAACTCCTGCTTCCTGACATCCAGCACTTTTGTTATACACTCGGAGAAAGCGTGATCTGGAAAAAAAAAGACCCAGACATGAAGGACAACCCCTTGGAAAGGGAAGAGTTACAGGGAACATTACCTCCATCCTAAGCAAAAAAGACGAGTGTTTCAGTTTAATATTGATTAAGTTCATTGTCGGAGGAGAATTTGGAGGACTTGCCACCCAAAACACCAAAACTATCAATAAAGTTTATTCTCGGAGCAGAATTTGGAAGACTTGCCCCCTTTCCTCTGTGTTTTAATCGAACAGAGTTGGAGTTTGCAATGGGTCTGAAGGTACAGCATGCAACCAGGAAGCTACACCACCACAATCCCCGAAATAAATTCCACAAACACCCCAAAACTTTAAAATAAATTCCACTAACACCCCAAAACTTTAACTGCATGAAAAAAAAACAATGTTTTCACTCCATCTTGCTTCTCAAATTGCTGAAAATCACCTCTGTGACCAACTATTACATTTTCACTTCTGTTTTTTGGACTCCCATTGCAATTAATTTTTAGTTTTCTTTGCCTTTTAGATAATTATCCAGTAGATTTATCCCCTGTTGGCCATGTAACTATGAAAACAGTTGGTAATTCGAAACTTACCACAGGTGCACAGTATCTTCTTAAACAGCTCCTCATTCTTTAAGATGTTGTTGAGGGTACTGCAGGGGATGTCTCCGGAAAGAACACAACGTCCAGTGAAGCTGAAGAGCATGTACAGCTGGGAGAGGATGGTTTTTGCATTGTCGCTGAGCTGAACTTGAAACTTGCACTTTGATTCTTCTGTAAAACGAATGAGCTTTGGTGAAAGACAGCTGGCAATTTCTCTCCTGCATTTCGTTTGAAGCCAGATCCTCAGGAAGAGCCAGCAGCTTCCAGTTTACGGGAGTCTGTCACCTCACCAGAGCAGGGGACAGATGCGTAGTGGCTTTCTAGCTCAACCATCAAAACCAGCACCTTGGGAAAATCCAGATCTCCCTTGGGAAACCCAGGTATCTCCCCCTGCCTGAAACAAAGCATGGGGACAACCCAGGAAACCACAGGGACCACCAAGGAGATTGCATGTGAGGCTGAGCAGCCACCTCCTGTGAACATGAAGGGCTTCCAAGGGGTCTGGGGCACAGAAGAGGATGCTGGGTGGCTTTCTTCTGGCCAAAAGGAGGAGAAGGGACAATCCCACTGCAGCCAACAGCTCCTATGGGAAGGGCAGCTATGGAGACAAGTCTAGAGTCTTTCTGATGGTGCCAGAAGTTGTAGCAGGGAGAAAGAACCACTTGTTGCCCTCTCCCATATCTCCTAATTAAAGAAGGGCCAACACTGGCCTCAGACCAGGCTTTGACCAACCATGGAATGCCTCCAGGCGTGGTAATACCACCACCTCTCTGGTCCTAATTCTAATGCTTGACTGCCTTTGTGTGAACACCCTCTGGCTCCATCATGTCCTTCCCTTCAACAACAAGCCTCAAAACCAACAAAGCAGCATTGCGACAGGATAAGAAACCAAGATGTTTCTCCATTCCTGGAATGAAACTTCATTCTTCTAGCATGGAAGATAATTTTTGTCCCCCTCTTTTTGTGTTGCCAACAAAATTGGAAGGTTTCTGTGAAAAGACCTGGTCTTCCCACCTAGCTCACTTATAAACCAAGAGCTTCTCCCAAAAAAACTGCTCAGGAGACACTCACCGACAGCAGAAATGAGATCACAGACCACAGGAGTGTTGAGCAGGTTTGCAAGAACAGAGCCAGTTGTCTCATCAAACGCATCAATTCTTCTCAGCCTCTTTGTCTCTGAACACATTTTCTCCACGAGAACGGAAAGCACCTTCCCAGTAGATGGTTTGCTTGTCTTCAGGAACATGGGTATCATAGATTTTACCACAGATTCCTGGAAGGATGAGAAATTTCTCCTCTTTAGGGGCTTTGTGGACTCATGGCTGTTTCAGAAAGACCTTTCCCTGCTCTCTTAACCCAGCACAGATCAGTAAAAGAGTTGGCAAAGGGGGATGTAGAGATCTCCAATGGCCCCAGGAGGGGTGGCAGCTCTCCTACCTTGCTTTTGTCAAGGCCTCTGATCCACTGGATGATGCGATTTGTAAAGCAGTTCTCCAACTCCGTGTCATTGTACTTGTCCATCTTCATGAAAGCCCAGTAGAAGTCCATGAGGTATTTCTCATTAACCTATGGCAAGGAAACATTTAAGAGGCAGCTGCTTTCTGGGTCCTTACCAGCCTCCTCAAATTCCACCACCAAAACGGTGACTGAGGCAAAACTGAGTAGGGCAAAGATACGGCACCATCCCCCCACCAGCTGGAGGATCTCCATGACTCACATTCTTCAGCCACTCCTCAAACATGTTGAGGATCAAACTCCACCACTCCTTGGTCCACCCCATGCAGAGGATCTTCATCGAAAGCAGCTGCTGCCACATCTATGGAGGAAGAGCCAAACCCATCCGTTTACCTTGAGGAACACCCAGATCTACCAAGGGTTGTGGCTCGTGTTGGTCTGTGGGTCTCGGCACTCACCTCAGTGTTCTTCAGGAAGGATTTCTTGTCCGTGGGTGCCTTCTGAAAGTGTCTGTTGAGCCACGGTATGATCAAATGTGAAAACTCCTTAAACCTTTCTGCTGAAGTGAACTGCTGGAATTCCTTGAGAAATCAAAGAAGAGTGAGCCAGAAGCTCTGGGCTCTCCTTGGCTACAAACTGGAGGCTAAGCCCTTGTGACAAAAGCCACAGACCTTCTTCTCACCTTGTTCGCTTGCAGTAAACCCTCTTTGCTGACAAACAGCCCAAGTATCCACAGCGTCGTCATCACAGAGTTGAACGACACCCATTTCGTCATCTCCACCAAGAATTGCTTCAGCAGGAGGTACACCAAGTTCAGACACTGCAAGACCTCATCCTCATTTGTGGGCTCCAGAGATTGCTGTGAAGACCCCGATGGGTGCCTGTGGACACAGGAAAGGACCAAATGCTTCAGTTGCCTTCACAGTTTCTACCTGACCACAGCCACCATCTGCAACTGGAAGACATAGGACACAACCCTTGTGGGTCTCTGTGCTCTCCAGCCATGGTGGGGTTAAAAACATCAAAAAAACAATGGGAAAATCCTGGCAGCCACCCTCTTTCTGCTCAGCCAAGGCTCCATCCCTCCCTCCCCAGACCCTTTACAGGCGTGTCACAGCACCTCTCCTCTCAAGAAGCCCCAACTCACAAGTCCTTGAACCAGGAGTTCATCCTGGTGGCGATGCTTTCCAAAGCCACATCAAAGTCATCTTCCTGAAAAGAGGACAGAAAGACACTCAGGACCAACATGAGATGGCTTCCGCTCCCACAGCTGAGGAGCATCCACACTTAAACACTGAAGTGTGAAGTTTTCTGGGCAGATTAAAGGGATTTCCTTTTATTTGGTCCCAGGATTCAGCTCTAACCCCGCTTTTCTACTATTAAGTCCTTCAGTCCTGCTTAAAATCTCTGTAGGAAAGAAGGACACACTCTGACCCATGGTGAAACAGCTCCACCACTCCCACCAGTACAGAAAATAGCCTTCCACCAATCAGTTGTCCTTACAGGCCCTTGGGTTGAGCTTGCCCTGACGTCTAGGATGCGCTCGCACAATGTCACCAAGAGGAGCTGGAGTGGAAACCAAATGTCAGGCAAAGGGTCCTTGGTGAAGTTCTTCAGGGCCACCATCTCCACCACCTTCTTTGCCAGCGGAGGACATCTTCTAATCAAGGATTTGTGATAACCAACCATCTTCAGGACTTTCCTGGGAAAGCAGGTCAAGAACATCAGATGGACTTTGGAGGACCAGGAAGGATGTTGGTGGTGTTTGAGATGGCACCGTGACCGGTAGACACAGTGGTGACTTACAGCCAGGGTGGCTGGGGGCTGGAAGGAGGAGCTGGGGTTTGACAAGTGACTCTACAGGGCAAAGCAGGAATTTCTGGAAATTCACCTGCCTGAAGGTTATTAGAACAAAACTCAGGGCTCAATGTGATCTTGACAGGCTGGAGGAGTGAGCCAAGGCCAACCTCATGAAGTTCAACACGGGCAAGTGCAAGGTCCTGCACCTGGGCCGGGGCAATGGTTGTAAACTGAAGGGAAGTGGATTTAGGCTGGACTTAAGGAAGAAATGTTGTACAATGAGGGTGGTGAGACACTGGAACGGGTTACCCAGAGATGCTGTGGGTGCCCCATCATTGGAAGTGTTCAAGGTCAGGCTGGACGGGGCTTTGAGGAACCTGATCTAGTGGAACATCATAGAATGGGCTGGGTTGGAAGTGGCCTTCAAAGATCATCTAGCCCAACCCCATTCAAAGATCATCTAGACCAACACCACTGTCGTGGGCAGCGACATCTTCCCCACCATTGGAAGGGTTCAAGGCCAGGTTGGATGGGGCTTTGAGGATTCTGATCTAGTGGAAAGTGTCCCTGCCCATGGGCTGGAACTAGGTGATCTTTAAGGCCCCTTCCAACCCAAACCAATTCGATGATTCTATGATCTTTGAAGGTCCCTTCCAACCCATTCTCTCCCCAGGACTGCTCCCATCCAGCCGTCTGGATAAGACCGCACAGCACCCAGATCCATCCTCCCCTTGAGGTCCACCAATGCTCCTTCAACACCCCCCATGGCAGGGGACATAGCATGGCAAGGATAAGGGGCAGCTCCTTGAGAAGCCACCAAGCAGAAGGAACGAAAAGCACTTTGAAGAGCAGGACAGTTCATTACCTTGATCCTACCTCAGCCTTTCAGACTCACCACTGCTTCTCTTTGTCTTCCCTCAGCTGTTGGAAGGCTTGTGAAGAAAGTTCACATGGGAGAAAAGGGTCCTTCTTGAGCTCATAGAGCAGCGGGACCAACCAGATCCACAAGGTGCCATCAGTGGTCTTGAGACACATTTCCTTCAGACCCTGAAAGTATTTGCTGCAAAAAAAAGGCCAAAAAAGTCAAACTTCCCACAACCAACCTCTAGGATTCCAGTGGGAGCCTGGAAAGAGCTCGGATCAAGACACCTCCATAAGACAACCAATATCAGAGATGTCGAACGCTCTTCGAAGTGTCCGGGGTACCCAAGATGGACCCTCCAGGCTGGAACCCACCAACCCAGGTTTACACCCCCTCAAAGACCCCTTGGGATAGCACATGGCACCCAAAGTGACATGTGGGGACAACTGAGCTGAGCCCTGGACCTCTAAAGGTGTCGCTGCTCCAAGCGAAGCAGGTTAGCCAACCGAATCTACCTTTTTCCTCTCAGTTCTTTGTATTTGTCTTCAGAGAACTCGATGACCTGGAAGTGCTTTTCAGCCTCAGCGATAGACGCTGGGGAAAGGGGGATGTTATAGCAAGACGAGATACGAAAGGCAAACAGGAGCTTAGGAAGGTTATGTTCCTTGGTCTTCAGGTGCTTGACGATCGCTTGTAGGAAGGCTCCGATACTATCTCTCACCTGGACAACAAGAACAAGGAGAGGACGTTTCACCAGGCTGGAGAAGATGTTTTTTTCTCTGAGAACTACCTGGCCCAGGGTGGAGGATGGGAGGTGGAAGATGCTGCTGCCTGGGGGCACCTTGCATGGCACCTCCCTAGGGAGAAATTATTTATTCCCAGTGCCACATGTCCACCCAGGAAGGTCCTACACACTAAATACACCACACAAAAGGCTCTTAGCTTCACCCCTCTGCTGTCCAAGCCATCCCTCAGAGTGAGGGACACCACTTTGCCAGCTTCCCAGAGGTTTTGGTGGGCACTTACCGCTTCCTCCGAACTGCGGAAAATCTCAGAGTCTCCTTTCTCGGCGTCCCCAAGACAGAAGCTGACGCTCTCCTTGTACCTATCCAGTTTCCTCTCTATATCCTCCAGGGAATTCCAGGAGGTGGCATGAACAAAGAAATTGTGCTCCAGGTAATCCATCTGGATTTTGCACCTGGACTTTTTGGACAAGGGATTCCGAATCATCATGCTGCTGCTGCTGTTGAGGAAACTGCATTCAATGTGTTCAAAGATGGTCCATGTTCCTGGGGAAAAAGGAAGAGTTTGGGAACAAAACGTAGGCACCAAGCTCAGCTGAGCCCCAGAAACACAAAACCATCTGCGCGTTTCTCCAGCCCAAGAGGTGCCACCCATTTTCCAGACAGGATTTGAGTGCTATGGCTTGGGTGCAAACTGTAGGATTTATTATGAGTTTAAAAAGCTCATTTGTATGAGCAGCCCATAAACCTGCAGCTTGAAACCTCCCAAAATAAACCAGGGTTAAACGCGGGCCAGCCTATGGCCATCATCATCGTGTCTGGTCATGATTTGGGGGTAAATAACAGCGCTTACCGTCGGCTCTGATCTCTGTTTTGGGTATATCCACGACACGAAATAATTGAGCGTTTCTGTACTTTAAGGTATCCTGGATGCCGGAGTTCTCTAATGAAATGTGCTCTAATTCACACTCTCTGTCTTGGCTGTAGGGGTTAATGAGGGCATATTTATAAAAGATAAGTCCTTCTTTCAGGTGAGAAAGGGTGATCCTGGCGCTGCCCGTAATCACTCTGTCTCTGGAAGATAAGAGAAGGAGCTTGTTGGCTTGGGGTTCACCACCAAGGTCAACCCCAAGCCAACGGTCAAGTTTTGGCTTATCCAACCAGACATTGTTGGCCTTCAAAACATCAGGGAGAAATCCACAGCCAGGTTCATCAGCCAGGGGACTAATTACATCAACCTGCCCAGCTCACGTCCTCCCATGGGGCTGAAAGATCCTGGCTGCAGCCAAAATGGCATCTCCATGAGTGATGGGGAGATTGGAAGAGCCACCACCAAGTGCTACGACTCCACCGGGATGTCTCCGTTTGGAGGTTCACATTCGACCTCTGTAGGAACCTGCTGCGAGGTCCCTCAGCCCGGAGCTGAATCTCCTGAAGGAGAACCACAGCAGAAACACCTCCTCGGCATAAATTCAACCCTCATTTTTTTACCTTTTCTCCATATTGGCAAATTCTTCACAGAGGCCAAGCTTTTTGTAGAAGACAACGGAGATCTTGAATTTTTTGTTGAGGTTATAATTTTCTGACAGCACAGCAACGAACTCCAGGGTCATTGTGTCTTGTGGTGGGTAATGTCCACCAAACAGATACGAGCTGGGCTGGCAGCTGTTGGAAAAGAGGTGGTGGGTCCCCACTGGGTTCTCCTGCCACCATCCCCCTTCCCCATCTTCACCTGCTCCACCACTCACATCCATTTCAGCTGGCTCTTGGCAAACGCTCCCAGATGTTGCACATCCCCTGCGATGTCACTTCTCACCCTGTTGAAGACCCCTTGGTTACCCCAAGGTATTCCAGAAAGACCTGGACGCCTCGGAGTGAGCGGGAAGAGGATGCAGAAGGACATCCTGGAGGTCTCTCGACACCAACTAGGGGTGGGATTTTGGGGGACAAGGGACCTAGCAGTGCCCAAGCTGCATCTCCTCCTACCATAGCCCCTTTCACTGAAGAGCTGCTGGACCTCCAGCCCTCCAGATAGAACCTCAAACCCGCCAGTGACGACATCCCTCCACGCAACGAACCTGCTGGGAGGTCCTCGGCCTTCTCTGATCTCCTCATCATCTGCAACCGAGGAGAAAGCATCAATTAACGCCTCCAAAGAAGGTGGCCAAGAAAAGGTAGAAACTGAGGTTCATCAGGGAGAGGGGGGTTCCCCGCAGCTTGGGCATGGTCTTCTTGGAAGAAGAACCCCAACCTGCTCTAAGAGTGAGGTCCTCACTGTCCTCCCAAGCTCCACCAGCGCTCAGGCACAGCCTTGCTGGGGACAGGGATGAGCAGCAAGGCCGGAGGGTGAGGGCAGCCACTGGCATGGCCCAGGAGGCTTCTGGGTGTGGTGTCACCAAGAGCTCCCACCTCCCAGCCAGCTCGTATCACCCATGGCTGCTCCCGACACGACTCAGCATCTGATTTATCCTCAGATGACCAAGGAAACGCCCTCACCTGCACGTGCACGGTTGAGGTTCCCCTGGTCTGTCACCTCTGCTCTCTTAACATGACCCGGGACCTTTTCCTGGAGAAAAGAAAAATGGAACATGTCAAAGTCAAAAGATGAAGTTCAAGAGCTGAGAGCTCAAAAGACCAGAGACACAAAGGGTGGGGCAGGGTCTTCTTCTGCCCCTACCACTTGTAGAGCATTGAGCTCCAAAATCCAGGCCAGCGACACTGTCCTGGCATGGAAAACTCAACCCTTGTCCTCCAAGAGCTTTGGCCATGAGCTTCAAAAGCTGCAGTGGCCTCACCGGACTGCTGAAACTCTTCTGCGTCTGTATTTCCGATGCTCCCTCCGGATGGACACCAGCATTCTGGTAATTCTCGTTCTCCACCGCCGCGCAGCGGTGCGCCGGGATCTGCTGGAGCGGGATCTCATCTTGTGGTGGGATTACGGGAGCCTGGGAAGGAGAAGGACCAAGTTATTGGCGGTCACAAGAGTGTTTGGAGGAACGGTGGAGCCCCCTCAGAGCATGACGTGGCCGTGACCACAGGTACAACGCCTTCGAGAGCAGAACCTGACCAGCATGGAACCTCTTTGGCAATGCCAAGCCCTCGGAGTTACCATCCACCAACCCAGTGGCACCCAAACATTCCTCATCAGGTCCCAAAACTCATGTGCGCGCACGTGCCTGGACTAATAACCCCATTTTTTGCCTTAAAACGGGTTCTTTTCTTTCTAATTTACTTCTCCCATGAAGAATTGTCCTGGGGGAGCCGGGATGGAGTTAATTTTCTCCACAGCAGCTCACAGGATGTTGGATTGTGGCCAAAGCAGCACTGTCTGCAGGTGAATGTTTGAGGTTTTGCTGAAGAGCACGCGCACAAGACCTCGGCGTCTCAAATTGCCCCCCACCCTGGCGAAGCTTAGGATCCCAACTGACCAAAGATCTGCTCCACCTGACATCATTCGCCACGATAAAAAGAAAAAATGGGGAATTTGAGAGGGTTTTAGGTTTGTTTTTTTAAACTGGGGACTTGGCACAGCCTCCCCACAGGAGGTGGTGAGCAATTTCTGCCACGTAGTTTTGTTGCTTGTCTCACTTCTCTCTCCCTTTGTAAGCATTTTTTATGTCACCCTGAAGTTGCTTTTACTTTTCCTTTCCTCTTGTGTAACCGTCGCCATTGTTAACAAAGATAACGAATCCAGCCAACGCCCAGAGAGTGAACTGGAGCCAGCAAGCAGCAACGTGGCACTTTACTGACAAACGGAAGTCGCTCAGACCCCAAAATTTGAGATTTTCACTAGAAAAAAACGGAGTTCAAGCTACCCAAGAGTTCCAAGCGCCCACCTCGTGCTCGCTGAGGGGCTGGGGGGCCGGATCCTGCTTGCGGTGGTCGTCTCCATCGCCCACCAACGAATCCACCGACGTTGGCTCTGAAAAAAAAATTAAAAAAGCATCGCAGGTGGGATGTGAGCAAGGGGCCGCTCTCGCTCCTCCTTCTCCCTGCCCTGATCCCTTCGGGATCTGTCCCCGCTCCAGCGGTACCTGGCTCGCTGGAGACAATCTCCCAGCGGTCGTCGTCGTCGTCGGACTTGTAATCCCCCGTCACCTGCTCCGGTGTTGAACCGATGTCCTCGTACCCCTCGGGAAGGGAGTTTGGGTTGTTGGGTGCCGTCGGCTGCGTCCCGGGGTTGCCGGGACCTTCGTCCTGCGCCGAGGGGCCGCTCACGAAATCCTCGCTGGGCTGGGGCTGGGGGTGAAGCTCTTCACCTCCTCCGTCGCCTTCGGAGCCCTCCATGGCGGCGGTCCGGACCTGGGCGGGGGACGGTGGGGAGACAGTTTTAGTACCAAAAACCCGCGCTCTGAGAGCAAACGGGGCAAGCGTCTCGATTTGGGGAGCTTGGGGGCTGAGCAACAGCGATTTAGGGAGATTGGGGGCTCAAAAACTCTGATTTAGGGAGCTGTGGGGCTCAGAAACAGCAACTCAGGGAGATTTGGGGCTGAGCAACAGAAATTTAGGGAGATTTGGGGTGCAGAAACAGCAATTTACAGAGTTTTAGGGCTCAGAAAATCCCATTTAGGTTGCTTTTGAACTCAGAAATGCACACCTAGGGAGCTTTTGGGCTGAGAAACAGCAACTTAGGGAGATTTGTGGCTGAGAAACAGCCATTTAGGGAGCTTTGGGGCTAAAAAACTCAGATTTAGGTATCTCTAGGGCTGAGAAACACTGATTTAGGGAACTGTGGGGCTCAGACAGACCCATTTAGGGAACTTTGGGGCTCTGAAACACCAGTTTAGGGAGCTTTGGGGCTCACAAACACTGATTTAGGGGACTGTGGGTATCGGAAACACCAATTTAGGGAGCTTTGGGGCTCAAAAATGCCGATTTAGGGAGCTTTGGAGCTCAGGAACAGCAACTTCAGGAGATTTGGGGTCGAGAACACCCATTTAGGGAGCTTTGGGGCTCAAAACCTCTGATTTAGGGGACTGTAGGGCTCTAAAGCATTTATTTAAGGAGCTTTGGGGCTCAGAAACTCCGATTTAGGTAGCTCCAGGGTTCAGGAACAGCAACGTAAGGAGATTTGGAACTGAGAAACACCAACTTAGGGAGATTTGGGGCTCAGAAACTCTGATTTAGGGGACTGTGGGGCTCCGAAGCACCAATTTAGGGAGCTTTGGGGCTCAGATGCAGTGATTTAGGGAGATCTGGGGCTGAGAAACACAAATTTAGGGAGTTTGGGGGCTCAAAAACTCTGATTTATGGAGCTGTGGAGCTCAGAAATGGTGACTTAAGGAGATTTGGGGCCAAGAAACACTGATCTAGGGAGCCCTGGGGCTGAGACACTGATTTTGGGGACTGTGGGGCTCAGAAAGACCCATTTAGGGAGCTTTGGGGCTCTGAAACACTGAGTTAGGGAGCTTTCGGGCTCAAAAACTCCGATTTAGGGACCTTTGGGGCTCTGAAACAGCTACTAAGGGAGATTTGTGGCTCTGAAAATCTGATTTAGGGAGCTTTAGAGTCCCAAACCCCCATTTCCAGAGCTTTGGGGATCCAAAATAGAGCTCTGGGGCCCCAAAACAGTGACGGGGGGAGCTCTTGGGCTCCGAAACTCCAATTTAATGAGCAGAAGCAGCAATGGGGGAGGGGGGGGGGGGGAGCGGGGAGGGGTTAAAAACACGGTGCCGCTTACCTGGGGGGAGGCGGTGGGCAAGTGGCTGCACCGTGAGGTTGCCGGCTGGCCCCAGAGTGGTAGCCGTGGGCTCCCTCGCCCCTAAAACGCCCTTGAAAAGTGAAAGTGAAAGGGCTCGGGATGCCGTGGGTGCGGCTGGTGGATTCCTGCCCTGGGGCGGGGGGGGGGGGGGGGGGGGGGGGAAGGGGGGGGGGGAAGGGGGGGGGGGGCGAGAAGGGTTCGAGCTCCGGGCATCACCCCAGGGGGATTGTTGCGGGGGGCAGCACCCCACCAGTCTGGTGTATTGGGGCAGCGCTGGGAGTGCTGGGAGGAGCCAAAGAACGGCACTGGGGGCACTGGGGAGAGGGGGGGACCCTCAGTAGGAGCAGTGGGATGAGGCAGGGATGGGCACTGGGAGCACGGGGGGGGCACTGGGAGCACTGGGGGGGCACTGGGAGCGCTGGGGTATCGCAGGGATCTGCACTGGGAGCACTGGGATGAGGCAGGGATGGGCACTGGGAGCACTGGGATATCACAGGGATCCGCACTGGGAGCACTGGGATGAGGCAGGGATGGGCACCGGGAGCACTGGGGGGGCACTGGGAGCACTGGGGAGGCACTGGACGAGCTGGGGTATCACAGGGATCTGCACTGGGAGCATCGGGGGGAGCCAGGGAGCAGCACTGGGAGCACTGGGGAGGCACTGGGAGCACTGGGGGGGGCACTGGGAGTGCTGGGGTATCGCAGGGATCTGCACTGAGAGCACTGGGGGGAGCGAGGGAGTCATAGTGGGAGCGCTGGAGCAGCGCTGGGAGAACTGGGGGATCCAGGGTGCAGCGCTGGGAGCACTGGGATGAGCCAAAGAACGGCAGTGGGGGCACTGGGGAGAGCGGGGGAACTGCAGTAGGAGCACTGGGATGAGGCAGGGATGGGCACTGGGAGCACTGGGGAGGCACTGGGAGCACTGGGGTATCGCAGGGATCTGCACTGGGAGCACTGGGGTGGCACTGGGATCATTTGGGAGAGCAAAGGAGTGGTACTGGGAGCACTGGAGTGTGCCAGGGATCCGCACTGGGAGAACTGGGGGGAGCCAGGGAGAGATCCTGGGAGCAGTGGGGGTACTGGGGGGAGCCAGGAAGGCCCAGTGGTCGTACTGGGGGAAGCCGGGGGGCACTGGGAGCACTGGGGGGGCACTGGGAGCACTGGAGAGAGCAAAGGATTCCCAGTAAGAGCACTGGGGGCAGCCCGAGAGCGGTACTGGGAGCTGGGGACGGGGCACTGTGAGCACTGGGGCGGCACTGGGAGCACTGGGGGGACACTGGGAGCACTGGGGGGACACTGGGAGCACTGGGGGGGCACTGGGAGCACTGGGGGGGCAATGGGAGCACTGGGGGGGCACTGGGAGCACTGGCGGGAGCAAAGGATCCCCAGTAGGAGCACTGGGGGGAGCCAGAGAACCGCACTGTGTGTACTGGGGCGGCACTGGGAGCACTCTGGGGGCACTGGGAGCACTGGGGGGGCACTGGGAGCACTCTGGGGGCACTGGGAGCACTGGGGGGGCACTGGGAGCACTGGGGGGAGGCAGAGAGTGATACTGGGAGCAGTCGAGGGGCACTGGGAGCACTGGGGGGAGGCAGGAAGGCCCAGTGGGAGCACTGGGGTGACACTGGGAATGAGGGGTAGGGGCAGTGGGAGAACTGGGAGGAGACAGGGAGCGGTACTGGGAGCACTGGGTGAAAGAGGGGGAAGCCAGGAAGACACAGTGGGAGAACTGGGGGGGCACTGGGAGAACTGGAGGAAGCCAGGGAGCCACAATGGGAGCACTGGGAGGAGGCAGAAAGGCAGAGTGGGAGCACAGGAGCGGCACTGGGAATAATGGAGGGGCAGTGGAAGAACTGGGGGGAGCCAGGGAATCACACTGGGAGAACTGGGAGGAATCAGGGTTCCGCAGTGGGAATACCGGGGCGAATTGGGGAGCTGCACTGGGAGCACTGGGGGGAGCCAAGGAGAGGTACTGGGATCGTGGGAGGGGTACTGGGATGTGCCAGGGAGCAGCACTGGGGGGCACTGGGGGGGCACTGGGAGCACTGGGGCGGCACTGGGAGCACTGGGGGGGCACTGGGAGCACTGGGGGGAGGCAGAGAGTGATACTGGGAGCAGTCGAGGGGCACTGGGAGCACTGGGGGGAGGCAGGAAGGCCCAGTGGGAGCACTGGGGTGACACTGGGAATGAGGGGTAGGGGCAGTGGGAGAACTGGGAGGAGACAGGGAGCGGTACTGGGAGCACTGGGGGCAACTGGGAGCATGGTGGGGATCCAGAGAGACGTACTGGGAGCACTGGAGCAGCACTGGGGGGAGCCAGGGAGCTGCCCTGGGAGCACTGGGTTGGCACTGGGGTCCACACTGTGAGCACTTGGGGGAGCTGGGGAGTGGTACTGGGATCAGTCTAGGGGCACTGGGAGCACTGGGGAGGCAGGAAGGCAGAGTGGGAGCACTGGGGTGACACTGGGAATAACGGGGGGGCACTGGGAGCACTGGGAGGAGGCACTGGGAGCACTGGGGGGAGCCGGGGAGCCACAGAGGAAGAACTGGGGGGTGCCAACGCGTGGTACTGGGAGTACTGGGGGCACTGGGAGGAGCCAGAATAGCAGGGTGGGAGCACTGAGAGAAGCCAGGAGCAGCACTGGGAGCACTGGGGGGGCACTGGGAGCACTGGGGGGGCACTGGGAGCACTGGGGGGGGTACTGGGGTCCACACTGTGAGCACTTGGGGGAGCTGGGGAGTGGTACTGGGATCAGTCTAGGGGCACTGGGAGCACTGGGGTGACACTGGGAATAATGGGGGGGACACGGGGATTACTGGGAGGAACCAGGGAGCAGCACTGGGAGTACTGAGGCGGCACTGGGAGCACTGGGGGGAGCCATACCGGGGGTGCTGGGGGGGATTTGGGGAGTGGCACTGGGGGGATTCGGGGAGCGGCACTGGGAGCACTGGGTAGGAGCCAGGGAACCAGACTGGAATTGCTGGGGCGGCACTGGAAGCACCGGGGTAGAGCCCGGGAGAGGTCCTGGGAGCACTGGGGGGAACTGGGAATGGCACTGGATATAATGGGAGGAGCCAGGGAGCCGCGCTGGGAGGATTTGGGGGGGGGATCGAGGGAATCACAGTGGGAGCACTGGGGGGGGGAGCCAGGGAGCCGCGCTGGGAGGGCTGGAACTACATCTCCCATCAGGCCCCGCGGCCGGGAGGGGGCGCGGCTTCCGGCTGCTCCCCCGCCTTTACGTCACTTCCCGCGGCCGCCGCGCGCAGTCACGATGGAGGAGCTGGGGCTGCTGGGGGAGAAGGCGCAGGTTTGGGGGGGGGGGGGGGGGGGGGGGTCCCCCAAATCCCGGGGTGGGAGGGTCAGGGTGTCCGGGGACCCCTCCCCCACCATGGGTGCCCCCCTCCCCCGCCATGGGTGCCCCCTCATTTCCGGGAGCCCCCTCTTTTCCCTCCCCCCGCCCCCCCGGTGACCCCCCATTTTAGGGTGCCCCCCCCCCTCCGGTGACCCTCCATTTTAAGGTGCCCCCCTCCCCCGGGTGCCCCCCCATATCTGCGTCGTGTCCCCCCAAATCTCTCTGCTCCCCCCCCCCCAAGTGACCCCACTAATTTTTGGGTCATCCCCCCCGTTTTTGGGTGCCCCCCCCCCCCATCTCTCTATCCCCTCCCCCCCGCCCTCCCTGTCCAGGTGACCCCCCCCCTCCTACTTTCTGGGTTGTGCTCCCCCCACACCTCTGGGTGCTCCCCCCCAAATCTCTCCCCGCACCCCCCCCCCAATTTCTGGATTGTCCCATCCCCCCCCCCCCCCCAATATGGTTCCTCTCCAATTTCTGCTTGCCCACCCCCCCATTTTTGGGTGCCCACCCCCCATTCTCTGCCCCCCCCCCCCCCCCCATTGCCCAGGTGACCCCCTCAATTTCCGGATTGTCCATCCCCCCCCTCAACATGGTTCCTCTCCTATTTCTGGTAGCCCACCCCCCATTTTTTGATGCCCACCCCCTATTTCTGGTAGCCCAACCCCCCATTTTTTGATGCCCACCCCCCCTTTTTGGCTGCCCCTCCCCCAGGATGAGCTGCCAGCTCTGGCCGCCCCCCGCCCGCCCCCCGGCCTCTCCTTCCTGGTGCCAGAACCTGAAGACCTGGAGGACCTCTACAGCCGCTACAAGGTGGGGTGCAGGAATTTGGGGGTGCAGGGAGATGGGGGGGGGGGAGGGGCCAGCAGGACCCCCCCGCCTTGACCTCCAGGTGTCCCAGTAGAAGCTCCAGCAGGAGCTGGAGTTCCTGGAGGTGCAGGAGGAGTACATCAAGGATGAGCAGAAGAACCTCAAGAAGGAGTTCCTCCACGCCCAGGAGGAGGTGAAGAGGATCCAGAGCATCCCCTTGGTCATCGGACAGTTCTTGGAGGCCGTTGATCAGAACACCGCCATCGTGGGGTCCACCACCGGTGGGGCTGGGGGTGGAGGGGTGGGGGTGGTCCTGGAGGGGGGGGTGGGGGTGGTGGGGACGTGGGGATGGGTGTGGAAGGTTGAGTTTTCCGACCATCACCCTGGTCGTGAGGTGGTTGGGGGTGGTGGGGACCTGGGGATGGGTGTGGAAGGTTGAGTTTTCCGACCATCACCCTGGTCGTGAGGTGGTTGGGTGTGGTGGGGACATGGGGATGGACTGGCCAGGAGGGGTCAGGTGTGGTGGGGACGTAGCGATGGGCATGGAGAGTTGGTGGTCATGGGTGTCCAGGTGTGGTGGGGACGTAGGGTTGAAGGTGGAAGTTTGGTGGTCATGGGGGACAGGTGGTGGGGACGTCGGGATGGGCATGGAAGGTTGGGTTTTCCCACCACCACCATGGTCGTGAGGTGTTTGGGTGTGGTGAGGAGATGGGGATGGACTGGCCAGGAGGGGTCAGGTGTGGTGGGGACATGGGGATGGATGCGGAAAATTGGAGATGGCCATGACGGGGAAAGACTGGTGGGAACATGGGGATGGACATGAGCAGTTGGGGACAGCTGCAAGAAGGCATCGTGAGGATGAGGGGATGGATTTGGAAGGTTGGGGCTGGGTCTTGCTGGGGACGTGGTGGGCCTGGGGACAACTCTGGTGGTGGTGACCCAGGGAAGACACCCTGTCCTTGTTCTCCTGCAGGCTCCAACTACTACGTGAGGATCCTGAGCACCATCGACCGGGAGCTTCTGAAGCCCAACGCCTCAGTGGCCCTGCACAAGCACAGCAACGCGCTGGTGGACGTCCTCCCACCCGAGGCCGACAGCAGCATCATGATGCTCACGTCAGGTGGGTCACCACCTCCTGGGGCCACCACCGTGTCCCAGGGAAGCCCGTGTCCTTCAGGGTGCAGAGCGCCGGCCGATGCTGTCGGTGGTGGGACCAAGGGTGTTCTCAGGAGGTTTACGGGTTCTACCAGATTGGGGAGATGCTGGTGCGCTGGAGACCAGGGATCTCCAGAGCTGGACCTGGAGGGTGGAGAGCAGCAGGACATGGTGACCAGAAAGGGTTTAGTGTTGGGTGATGTATCTTCATGAACGCTGTAGGTGGTGGGACCAAGGGTGTTCTCAGCAGGTTCATGGGTTCTGCCAGGTTGGAGAGATGCCACGGTGCTGCAGGTTGGAGCTCTTTCAGAGCTGGACGACAACTGGATGTGGTCCAGGTCCACCCAGAGGGGTGATGGGTCTCCATAATTGGACGCGCCCATCCCTCACCTGCCTTAGACCCTGAGCACCCTGCTCTGGTTGGAGATGTTTTGTGGAGGAGCTTGGGCCAGGGACTTCTTGTCTCTGGTGTCTCAGGAGAGCGAAGCAACATGAGTGATGGGTCTCCATCGTTGGACACACGTGAGCGTTGCCTGGAGAAGGTGACTTGCTCTGGGCTGCTCTGGTTGGAGATGTTTTGCAGAGGAGGTTGGACCAAGGACCTTTTGTCTCTGCTGTCACAGGTGGATGGAGCCAGGGCCGAGGCCTCTATGAGTGGCAGGCCTCCATCCTTGGGAGACATCCAGCCCTCACCGGGGCAAGGTCCTGAGCTCCCCACCCTGGTTGGAGAAGTGTTGAGGGAGATGTTGGACCAGGAACCTGCTCTCCCAGGGGGTTGGAACCATCATGACCAAGGGTGGTGGGTTTCCATCCTTGGAGCTGCCCAAGCATCACCTGGGCAAGGTCCCAATTGACCTGCTGTGGTTGGAGATGTTTTGGAAGGGAGGTTGGACCAGGAATTGTTGTCACATAAGGATGGAGACGTGGATGGGTGGTGGGTTTCCATCCTTGGAGCTACCCAACCATCATCTGGGCAAGGTCCCAATTGACCTGTTGTGGTTGAAGGTGTTTTGGAAGGGAGGTTGGACCAGGAATTGTTGTCACGTAAGGATGGAGACGTGGATGGGTGGTGGGTTTCCGTCCTTGGAGCTACCCAACCATCAACTGGGCAAGGTCCCAAGTGACCTGCTGTGGTTGGAGATGTTCTGGGGAGGAGATTAGACCAGGAAGCCCTTGTCCTTGTTGTCACGTAGGGCTGGAAGCCTGGATGGGGTGGTGGGTTTCCATCCTTGGAACTGTCCAAGCAACACCTGGACGAGATCCCGGGTGACCTGGTCTGGTTGGGACTGTCCTCTGGTGGCCAAGGTTGCCCCTGGCCACCGCGGTGGCCCCAGCAGGTGCCCCACTGATGGCCCATCCCCGTTGCAGACCAGAAACCAGACGTGATGTACGCTGACATCGGGGGCATGGACATCCAGAAGCAGGAGGTGCGGGAGGCCGTGGAGCTTCCCCTCACCCACTTCGAGCTCTACAAGCAGGTATGACCACACGCCACCCCAGGGTTGGTGGGGGGGGACACACGGGACCCTTGGTGACCCATGATGTCACCTCTGGCTGTTGTGTCCCCACCCAGATCGGCATTGACCCCCCGCGGGGTGTCCTCATGTATGGACCCCCTGGCTGCGGCAAGACCATGTTGGCCAAGGCGGTGGCCCATCACACCACAGGTGGGGCACGTCGGGGTGCTGGGGGCACCCAGGGTGGGTGGTGGGACCTTTTGGGGGGGGGGGGTGGGGGGGTGGGATCCTTGGGTGGGTGGTGGGGGATCTCAGGGTGCCAAAGTAACCTTTGGGTGGTAGGGGAGGTCCTTGAGTAGTGGTTGGGTCTTTGGGGTGCTGTGAGGGCACCCTAGGGTGCTGGTGGGATCCACGGGGTGCTGGTGGCACCCTTGAGCGTGGAGTTCTTGGGGTGCTGGTGAGGTTCTTGGGGTGTTCAAGTAACCTTTGGGTGGCAGTGAAGTCCTTGAGGTAGTAGTGGGGTCCTTGGGGTGCTGAGGGCACCCCAGGGTGCTTTGGGAGTCCTTGTAATGGTGACGGAGGTCTTGGGGTGCTGGTGGGCTCCTTGGGGTGCTGGGGGCTCCTTGGGGTGCTGATGGGCTCCTTGGGTTGTTGAGAGCACCTTGGGGTGCTGGTGGGCTCCTCGGGGTGCTGGGGGTACTTCAGGGTGCTGGTGGGGTTCTTGAGGTGCTGGTGGGCTCCTTGGGTTGTTGAGAGCACCTTGGGGTGCTGGGAGCACTTCAGGGTGCTGGTGGGCTCCTTGGGGTGCTGGTGGGCTCCTTGGGGTGCTGGTGGGCTCCTCGGGGTGCTGGTGGGGTTCTTGAGGTGCTGGTGGGTTCCTTGGGTTGTTGAGAGCACCTTGGGGTGCTGGGAGCACTTCAGGGTGCTGGTGGGCTCCTTGGGGTGCTGGTGGGCTCCTTGGGGTGCTGGGGGCACTTCAGGGTGCTGGTGGGCTCCTTGGGTTGTTGGGGGCTCCTTGGGGTGCTGGAGGCACCTCAGGGTGCTGGTGGGCTCCTTGGGTTGTTGGGGGCTCCTTGGGGTGCTGGAGGCACCTCAGGGTGCTGGTGGGGTTCTTGGGTTGTTGAGAGCACCTTGGGGTGCTGGGGGCACTTCAGGGTGCTGGTGGGCTCCTTGGGGTGCTGGGGGCACTTCAGGGTGCTGGTGGGCTCCTTGGGTTGTTGGGGGCTCCTTGGGGTGCTGGAGGCACCTCAGGGTGCTGGTGGGGTTCTTGGGTTGTTGAGAGCACCTTGGGGTGGTGGTGGGCTTCTTGGGGTGCTGGGGGCACTTCAGGGTGCTGGTGGGGTTCTTGAGGTGCTGGTGGTCTCCTTGGGTTGTTCAGGGCACCCCAAGGTGCTGGTGGAGTTCCTGAGGTGCTGGTGGGCTCCTTGGGATGCTGGGGGCACCCCAGGGTGCTGGTGGGGTTCTTGGGGGGGCTGGTGGGCTCCTTGGGTTGTTGGGGGCTCCTAGAGGTGCTGGTGGGCTCCTTGGGGTGCTGGAGGCACCTCAGGGTGCTGGTGAGGTTCTTGAGGTGCTGGTGGGCTCCTTGGGATGCCAGGGGCACCTGGGGGAGGGCAGTGGCACCCCAGGGATCTGGTGGCCTCCTTGGGATGCTGGTGGCCAGGAGAGGTCTGGGGGTGCTCCGCGGGGCCCCCCCCACCCACCCAGCCATGAGGTCCCAGCCCCTGTGGGTGCCCCCAGCTGCCTTCATCCGGGTGGTGGGTTCGGAGTTCGTGCAGAAGTACCTGGGGGAAGGTCCTCGCATGGTGCGCGACGTCTTCCGCCTGGCCAAGGAGAACGCCCCGGCCATCATCTTCATCGATGAGATCGACGCCATCGCCACCAAGCGCTTCGACGCCCAGACCGGAGGTGAGAGGACGTGGGGACCCTGTGGTGGGGTTCTGGGACCTCTTCGTGGTCCTTGGAGCATGGGTGAGAGTCAGGAACCCTCTGGAGAAACCTGTGGAGAGTTTCTGGGACCTCTTGGTGGTTCTTGAGGCTTGGTTGAAGGTCAGGAACCCTCTGGAGAACTCCATGGTGGGGTTCTGGGACCTCTTGGTGGTCCCTGGAGCTTGGGTGAAGGTCAGGAACCCTCTGGAGAATTCCATGGTGGGGTTCTGGGACCTCTTGGTGGTCTCCGGGGTCTGGATGAGGGTCAGGAACCTTCTGGAGAAGTCCACGGCAGGGTTGTGGGACCTCTTGGTGGTCCCCGGGGCTTGGATGAGGGTCAGGAACCTTCTGGAGAAGTCCACGGCAGGGTTGTGGGACCTCTTGGTGGTCCCCGGGGCTTGGATGAGGGTCAGGAACCCTCTGGAGAAACCTGTGGAGAGTTTTTGGGACCTCTTGGTGGTTCTTGAGGCTTGGGTGAAGGTCAGGAACCCTCTGGAGAACTCCATGGTGGGGTTCTGGGATCTCTTGATGGTCCTTGGGGCTTGGGTGAGGATCAGGAGCCCACTGGAGTAACCTGTGGAGGGTTTCTGGGACCTCTTGATGGTGCTTGGGGCCTGGATGAGAGTCAAGAACCTTCTGGAGAACTCCAGGGCAGGGTTCTGGGACCTTTCATGGTCTCTGTGGCTTGGGTGAGGGTCAGGAACCCTCTGGAGAACTCCACGGTGGGGTTCTGGGACCTCTTGGTGGTCTCTGGGGCCTGGATGAGGGTCAAGAACCTTCTGGAGAACTCCAGCGCAGGGTTCTGGGACCTCTTGGTGTCCCCCAGGTCCTTGGAGCTGGGGTTGGAGGGTCAGGAACATCTTGGAGAACCCCATGGGGTCCTTGGGGTGGGGTTGGGAACCCCATGGTGGGGGTCAAGGATCTTCTGGAAAACCCCATGGTGGGGTTTGGGGACCCTCTGGTGTCTCCTGGTCCTTAGGGCTGGGGAGGACACCCCTGCGGAAGGGGTCAGGGACCTTCTGGTGTCCCCTGGTCTTTGAGGTTTGGGGTAGGGGGACCCAGGGCACATCAGGCCTGTGGGGCCAGGTCCTTGGGAGGGTGGTGGGTGCTGGGGGTGGGTGGGTGGGGGTGGTCCCACCATGTCCCTTTCCTCCTCCACAGCTGACCGAGAGGTTCAACGCATCCTCCTGGAGCTCCTCAACCAGATGGACGGCTTTGACCAGAACGTCAACGTCAAGGTGAGGGTCCCAAAGGGTGCTGGGGGGTGGGGGGAGGTCCCATGGTGCCACACGGTGACACCCGTGTGTGTGTGTGTGTGTGTGTCCCACCCAGGTCATCATGGCAACCAACCGGGCGGACACCTTGGACCCGGCGTTGCTGCGTCCTGGCCGCCTGGACCGGAAAATTGAATTCCCGTTGCCCGACCGGCGCCAAAAACGTCTCATCTTCTCCACCATCACCGGGAAGATGAACCTCTCCGAGGAGGTGGACCTGGAGGACTGTATCTGGGGACACGTGGGGACACCACAGGGTGATGGGAGGGTGACGCGGGGATGGTGGGGACCCCACCGAGGTAGGATTTCCTCCCCGCTCTCCAGGGAGCCACCTAAGGAGGTGGGGGATCCCGTGGGGACATCGGGGAGCTCAGGGACATGTCAGGGTTGGGGACATCAGGGACTCCAGGGAGATGTCAGGGTTGGGGACCCCATGGAGACATTGGGGACCCCAAGGAGATGTCAGGGTTGGGGACATCAGGGACCCCAGGGAGATGTCAGGGTTGGAGACTCCAGGGGACATCAGGGACTCCAGGGAGATGTCAGAGTTGGGGACATCAGGAGCTCCGGGTGACATCAGGGATGGGGACCCCACGGGGACATCAGGTGACATCAGGGAAGTGTCAAGGTTGGGAACATCTGGAACCCCAGGGAGATGTCAGGGTTGGGGACATTGGGGACTTCAGGGAGATGTGAGGGTTGGAGACATCAGGGACTCCAGGGGACATCAGGAACCCCATAGAGGTGACAGGGTTGGAGACTCCAGGTGTCATCGGGAACCCCACAGAGATGTCAGGGTTGGGGACCCCATGGGGACACCAGGGACTTCAGGGGACATTGGGGACCCCAGGGAGATGTCAGGGTTGGGGACATCAGGAACCCCATGGAGATGTCAGGGTTGGAGACTCCAGGTGACATCGGGGACTCCAGAGGACATCAGGGACTCCAGGGAGATGTCAGGGTTGGGGACATGAGGTGACGTCAGGAACCCCACAGAGATGTCAGTGTTGGGGACCCCATGGGGACCTCAGGGACCCCAGGGAGATGTCAGAGTTGGGGACATGAGAAACTCCAGGTGACATCAGGAACCCCATGGAGATGTCAGGGTTGGGGACATCAGGGGCTCCAGATGACATCAGGGATGGGGACCCCACGGGGACATCAGGTGACATCAGGGAAGTGTCAAGGTTGGGAACATCTGGAACCCTGGGGAGATGTCAGGGTTGGGGACATTGGGGACCTCAGGGAGATGTGAGGGTTGGAGACATCAGGGACTCCAGGGGACATCAGGAACCCCATGGAGATGTCAGGGTTGGGGACATCAGGGGCTCCAGATGACATCAGGGATGGGGACCCCACGGGGACATCAGGTGACATCAGGGAAGTGTCAAGGTTGGGAACATCTGGAACCCCGGGGAGATGTCAGGGTTGGGGACATTGGGGACCCCAGGGAGATGTCAGGGTCAGGGACCCCATGGGGACATCGAGGACCTTCAGGGAGATGTCAGGGTTGGGGACATCAGGAACCCCACGGAGATGTGAGGGTTGGGGACATCAGGGGCTCCAGGTGACATCAGGGATGGGGACCCCGCGGGGACATCAGGTGACATCAGAGAAGTGTCAGTGTTGGGGACATCAGGAACCCCATGGAGATGTCAGGGTTGGGGGGGACCCTGTGGGGACACTGGGGACTCCAGAGGACATCAGGGACCCCGGGGAGATGTCAGGGTTGGGGACATGAGGTGGCATCAAAAACCCCACAGAGATGTCAGGGTTGGGGGCCCATGAGGACATCAGGTGACATCAGGGAGGTGTCGGGGTTAAGGACCCCACAGGGGCATCAGGAGCTCCAGGGGACATTGGGGACCCCAGGGGCGCTGGCCCCCAGCAAGGCCACCCGCAGGTGACACCCCTGGAGCAGGCCGGGGGTGGCTTGGGGACACTGGGGAGGTGACATCGATGAGGGGGACATTTCCTTCACACCCCCCCCCACCCAGATGTGGCACGGCCGGACAAGATCTCAGGGGCCGACATCAACTCCATCTGCCAGGAGGTGGGTGACAGGGGGGGGACAAGGTGACACGGGTGCCACGTGCCTCCCCGACAGGGTGACAGGGAGGTGACAAGGGCGTTGTGTCCCTCCGTGGTGGCGTGTCCCACCACAGCAGGGTGAGGAGGAGGTGACACAAGTGCCGCGGGTGCCGCGTCCCTCCTGGTGGGGTGGCAAGGATGTGATGGGTGACAGCGGGGGGTGGCCTGGGTGCCACCTCCCAGCAGAGAGGTGGCAGGAGGTGACACGGGTGACAGGGTGCCACCTCCCTGCAGTGTGTTGGGGGTGGCTGGGGACGACCTGGGTGACCTGGTGGCATGTCCCCAGAGCGGCTGGAGGGGACACGGGTGGCCTGTACCCGGGGTGGTGGAGGTGGCTGGAGGTGACACGAGTGGCCTGGTGGCCTGTCCCCAGGGTGTTTGGGAT